GTAGGCTAGTGACTTTTAGAGTGCTGCGTGGGGATTTTGTATTTCTGAGCCTTGTAGGTAACTAGCGACATTGGGAACGCTAGCTAGGCCAAAGTTTCTATTGCTTGTCGTATAAGTGCTCACTAATCCCGAAAGTACCTAGGTGATTTAAGGATTGAGGAATGGAAAATTAAATCTACTGTGCATGTATAGTCATGCGATGGGGTTTCCACGAATCATGATCGCTGCCCTACCTTATATTTAAACGACAGAGGCCTGTCAGCCATTTAGATTTAATGTTTGTACAATTGTGTGGCCATGTTTCCGTTTCAATGCGGCCAAATCGAAGAATCCCTCGTTTTGCGCCAGCGCATCGCATCGCATCGCATCGATACAAAATGGTTGTTTGGGTTTATCCCTAGGCCGATATTTTCTAAATTCTCCGGTGCAAGTTATGCTCGGATCCTTCACACGCCTTCTGCGCTTCCGGCTATGGACATGAAACTCCTAGCCTTGTCAACACCTAGATACATCCACTCCCCATAGCCGCTATATTGAGATTTGGAACCTTATTTCTCTTTTTATCGATTGCACCGATGGCTTTCCACTAGCATTTTTTTCCCAACCGAACGATAAGTCTCGAGGACCCTGTGTGAATGCATGATTTGCCATCTTCGACATAACATTTGGTCACCTGTCAGTTGATCTAGAGTTTCAGAACCTTGTTAGAAGATGAGAGGCCCTAGTACGTGCAGTGATCAAACGTAGGCTTCGGAACGCCGCATATCCAATAAGTACCATATGCTACGCCTCGCAAGGCCGGGCCAACATCGATCAGCTGCAAAGCATTCAATTGGTTTTGCCAAAAGTCTTGAGGGTTTGCACCACACATGATACCTAGTACTAGGGCAACTAGTGAATTGGGAGCAAGGTCAACCTGGTCTCCGAAACATCGAAAGTTTGTATGAGTAAACGTAATGTATCATCGGGTTGACATCTGTTGGTCTTTTGTTGGTGGCGAGGGCTTCGTGGCCATGGCCTGTGTTGCAGGCAGATGATTGGTGTAACAATGGTAGCCTCGAGACCAGGCGCAGAACCAAGTGGGCTTCCAACACAGTTTGGTTGTGAATTCCAACACACAACACAAATATCGGGTGGCACATCCCGAAAGCTAATGTCGGCACGAACTCGTGAACTCGGTGGTGTCGAATACCCAACTATACGACAGACACTGCGCCGTTCGCGCCGCTGAACTTGTAAACATGGGTACTGGGTCGGATACCAATTTGTTGCTTATGCGTTCCCTTGCCTTATTGTAGCATTACGAAATATAATTTTACTTCCGCAGAGTGCACCTGCACAGCCTTCCGCAGACCGCCAACTCAAGTAGCACAGTTTCAAAATCTATGAGGCTGAGCATCCCGCCAACAATATATCCACGCTTGGAATGTGCCGCGAAGTGGAGAGTGATGGCGGAATTCTATTGAAAAAGCTAATCTGATAGGTTTGGGGTAGTTCCTATATGATAGAAGATGAGGCTAATTTTGGCAACTCGCGCTTCTTTGTATGCATCTCAACACGAAAGCTTGCTTAAGATTTTAAGTTTCTAAAGCACCAAGCCTAGAAACTATTTCATATTTGTCGAAGCCTCGTCTCGGTGTGGGACCAGGCCATGGACTGTCGAGCAACTATTATGCGATATTAGCCCCACCTCTTTGATATATCTGGATAATTGTAATAGAAGCTAGCAGCTCTAAATACCATATACCCCGCACATAAAAAATTTAAGACGGTCTATGGCATGATACATAGGTCCTCTGTATATTCCCCTATTTCATTTCTTTGAAAGTATGCAACCATGACCAAAGGTTGGTTTTGGTGCTATCGATATCAGGTTTTGTCTTTATTACGGGGTATTGTTGTGGTCCCCTCTTTAGCTCTTTGGCTCTATGGTTCGTGGATATCAGCGCAGTCGTGCACCTCAAGATACCCTTTATTATGAATACGCAACGAAGAAAAACGTAACGATGTTGTTACGGAGACGTGTGAGAGGTCTAAACTCGAGATTTCGTTTGTTCGGCTTGCGGCCAGGTATACTAGTCTCGGAGGGTACCAGGGTTTTAATTTTGATCTCCGAGAGTTATATACTGTGTACGGCCAAGTATGTCTCGTTCTTGGCATCCTAGGCCCATTATATTCCCGCTTTAAGTTAAACTAAAGCTGGGTGGCAAAATAAGTTCTTGGGGGGGATAATGAATTCCGTAAGCATCAATATACGAACCTTAGATAGCTGTGAGTCCCAACAACCTGACATAGCGATCAGCCTCGTTAAAATACCGGTGACGGATTGGGTTTTTATAAACTCTTATATCAGAACAGGAATATTGTGCGTATATACGTATGCATCGCAAATTTGTGGCATGTTTTTCGAGCGTTCTATGTGTGGAGGATCTAATGCATGCATAAACCGCGGAGGCATCAACATTATAAAGCTAGTGGCAGCGATGAAGTTTTATAAATCTACCTCAGATCATACGTACTCACCTGCAAGACCCACTTTATCCCGCAGCATTCTGATCCATCTCCCGAGAATAGATCTTCGGACTAGGTATTTATACTTTACTTCATGGTCTCGCGAATACTTTCGAATCCATTCCCAACCAAGTTAGACGAGGATATGGGCTCAAAGCCACGTAAGACTCGAATCCGCCCCTTATCGATAGTAGTGTCCCGAATAATCATTTGACAGGCTTTTACTCCACCGCGGCCACGCAGGAATTAAAAGAATCGGTCGACACTGGGGTTCGCGGGAGAATTCTCTAGAAGCATATGCATAATAATAATAATGTAATAATAATGTGTTGGTGACTTGATTTGGATATGTGTCGTCCCGAAGATCAAGTAATTAAGTGTGATCCGCCCGAGAATTTCTGCTTCTAAATCCGGATCTAGTCTCGTGACTATGGAAATACCTCCGGGTCAATAACCCCTCAAGCCAAGCCCATAAGCTGGATAAGCCTTCCTTTGTTTATTTCAAAGCAAATCTCCAGGACATGTAAAGTTACCGGCCTTCCTGACCGTTGCGAACTTTCGTAAGGTCAAACAACGCTGAATTTGGAATAACAAGAAAGGTGTGCTAAATCTGGAACCTGCAGTGGAGCCGCAGCTAACCCGATTCTATTGATTCGTGTGTTACAGCGAGACCAGCGAGCGACAAACGAAAATCATGGCACGGATTGTGCCGCTCCATAGGAAGATGTCATTCGACTTCCATCTACCTAGTACCTAAGGCCGGCCTGGTCTTAAGCTTACGAAGGAAGTCAGTTGAGGGCGACGGGTTCTCATTGCGGGGAGAGGGCACTGCATACGTGTCTGCGTCCAATCATATGCTGACTTGAACTGGCGTCCCCACCAAGACCAAACTATATTGTTATTTATATCTTCCGATCGATATTGCGGGACAGAACACTCTGCATCGCTCTGGGGGCTAACCTTGCGGCTCATCCATCTCGGGCGGGAGTTTTGAGGCGGAGCCTAGATGCACTGTCATGCCCCAGCTTTCAATCTTAGTTTTTGGTTTCCTGTGTTGCAAGAGCACTTGGGGCAGAGATATCAAACAAACAAAGAAAAATGACGAGTTCCTAGCGACAGAGAGAAAGAGGGAGAGGGTGGGAGATCCAGGAAGTCATGCGCAGTGCGAAATCAAAATGCTGGTTGTATCACGCATCATGCAAGCAGAAGACCAGTGTCTATTTGCACTGGCTTGTACTGCAAATTAATTCAGTTTGCAGCACAACTTGTTAGTTAGCATGTGGCAGGTTCCATGCAGTTATGTGATTAGTCTGGCGCCAAGGCGACTTATTTGATACACTGATTTAAGCCCCAAACCAAGTAGCCGCAATGTATTGTTGTGCCTGACAGATGTATCCAACAGCCACTTCAAGGTTCTCAACTGTAACAAAAGTTTTGCTTCTGCCTGGCCGATAGAGCTAGCATGGCAGCGATAGAGCTACCATTTGCGTCGTCCTGGTTGACAGGCCTTGTGAGGGGAAGTCGATGCTACTCCGATCCTGTATACAGGCGTGTCTATACATCGGCATACCTATCAGGTGTCGGTGACCGTTAGAACTATCTGCATCCGAGTTTCGATTTCACATTGGCGCGTGTAATTGAAGCAAGATTTAACGAGCCCCCCGCCGTCGTATTCTCTGAACGGGCCATGCCATCCATGATTCGAATAGTTACTTACCTAGACGCAGAACGCAGAAGTGCGGAATTGGGGTGACGGGAGCAGCGTCAGCCTCGTTCTCATTTGACATGAAGGGTTAATAGAGTACTGACCTGCCGGAGCATGCAACGATCTTATAGATTAGCTAGCACTGCCCAGCTTTAAGAAATACCTGTTAATTAAGAAGCTTCCCCCGGCAGCAATATGCTCATTATGATCAAAATAGATGCTGTCTGACATAAGGAAGAGCGCCCCCAACTGTGTTCGAGCCCATTCTTGATTACACTTACACTTAACAATTTTCTCGCAACTGTTATAAATTTTCTTTTCCCTGATTTGCGTTGTCGTGTGGTCATGCTTCTTTGCACTATTAAGGCACAACAGCAACTCGACAACAAGGATCTCGACAGTGGCAGTACTTACTATCAGTGCAAACTTTACTGGAAGTCCATGAACCGAAAACTAGGCAATCCCTAAGCTAGGCCACCAATTTGCAGAAGGCCTCCTCGCAGTTTCTAGCCTTTTATCACAAAGACTTTTCCCTAGGAGAAATTTCTCTGAGGGGGGAAATCAGAAAACGAAAAAAAAACGAAATATCTCAAGAAAAAACAAAAAGATTTCTGGACCGGTAACGTTACGACGGAAATAGATTACTAAGAAAAGGAAGAGGAAGAGGAAGAGGAGAACGTTGGAAATTTAAGCAGAGCTAGCTCGATCTCGAGTCTTAACAGTTGGGCGTGTCGAGCTCGACAGAGCCCTACCTGGCCTGGCCCTCAGGTATCGATTCGAAAAGATGTACCGGCACAATGATCAGGAAACTTCAAGGAAGCACGGACAGCCCGAGAGCACAGAACGAATTTCAGACTACTACTACAACAATTCGGATTGTATGACTAGCTGGATATTGGACTCTCCGAATAGATACGACAGCCAATCTGTGGAGAACCCCTGGTCAAGTCAGTCCGGACATGTTAGCAACGAGTACAACAGTGCGAACTCAGAGATCCAACAATATTTTCCAACCGGGTATCAGGACGTACCACAGGTGGGTGCAGAAAATTCTGTGATTCGATCACTCAATCACATCCCTTCCTCCTACATAAAAGGTCTGTCGTTGAGCTAATCTCTTTGTTCTTGAATCGAAGTCATATTCTCTGAGCCTTGATACTTATACCCACGAAGAAGTCCCTGGAAAACTAGACTTTGACGAGCTAGAACTCCAAAGTCCTTATGTAATTTTACTTGGCGGCTCAGAGCTCAAAAATAAACAAGGAAAAGTCGTTTCCACGCCTTGGATATATCTTTGGAAAACAGAAGCAGTGGATATCGATACAGATCAGGTTACGTAAGTCCCCGAGTCAAATTAATCCGGGTCCTCTGAGGATGGAATCGTACTAAGAGTTATACGTTAACTAGCTCTCTGGCTCCTTCCAAAGACGTCAACCTTGAACGTGCTAGATACGTCAGAAATCCCGAAATGCAAGCTGCCAAAGCATTTTATAACGCACTACAAATAATGCGCCGAATAATACAGGCAAACGAAACAAAATTGTCACCGCACCTACGGACACATCATGAGCGGACAAACTGCGAGGTGGAAATGTTGGGATCCTTTAAAGAGTATGAATTGCATGCAGAGGGGTGCCCAAGTTGCTGTTCCGCTCTCGTGAACCTCAAACACAAGACATCACTATGCGAGCTCGGAATGGGGCTTGCTGAAAAGGTTTTCCTCGCCATCGACTGGTACGCTACAGCCACATTTGGAGAATATGAGAACGTTGCTCTGGAAGTATCAGAGCGTTCTGTCCGAAGTCTTCTTCTTGCTTTCACTCAAAACGAGTCACCTCCCTTATTTAAACCACAACTTTCTTCGGCAACCTCACTCTCTGAAACAGCACCACTTCAAACCCTGGCAGTCCAGTCATTGGGTGTAATTGGCTCTGTCCTAGGAGTAAATAACAAAAAATTCATAGACAGTACGAGGGTACCAAAGCGAAAGCGATCATTCGAAAGGGTCCCTAGTAATTTTCGTCATGCCGGCTATCGTTTCTTCTCCGGGCAGGGTCGCCCAACCGAACTCCTTACAGTTAATACAGAGCCAACTGCAGTATCGAAACTTGAGGAATACCTTAATTCACCTTCTCGGAGAAGAATCCTCAGGTCACAGATAGGGCAAGAGGGAATGAGATCTATTCGTAGACTATATAACGTATCACTCTACGGCTACAACACACTCGAGCGAGCCTTTAATGACGGCTTCATCAATACCTATGACTTTTCTCTCGACTTCCCCAACCATGCCGACCTTCTGAGTCTCGGAGTTCAAACCTTCATCGAGCTCAGTAACGAGAAGGCGTCATATCCTACAGCGCTAAGAGAGGTTTATAGCATTCTTCACCTGTGTGATAGCATCAACCAAATACTTCCCCAACAGAGGTATGAACGTAGGAAGCAGATAGAAGCCTTCTTCAAAGAGCTAGAAGACTGGAGGAATATAATTGAAGCTACTTGGGAAAGGTCAGCCTTCGAGATTATCGTTAAAATCCGATGGCCATCTAAGTACATGACTTCCTGGGCTCTGTCTTCATCGCCAAATCCCAAACGAGTGAAGCTGTCTCCAAAAAAGGACGCAGCGGCAGGGTGTAACCAAACTACAGAGACGGGCCCATCCACAAATATGGATGCTGCGTCAAAGCCTGCTGCATACCATTCACCCGAAGATCGCAGTCCAATGATGAAGGCGCTTCTTTGGATGCAGCTAATCGCTGGTGTCGTTTTCACCACTATTGCGGCGTATTTTACCTGTAAGTTCATTCATCCCAAGAACCGTGCTCTTTTACAAATAATCTTACTGACAAGATTTTATCCGTAATTAGTAAACCACCGCATTGTTAATGCTCTGGTACTCTACTTGACGGGCGGCGACGAAGATACCCTGGGCTCAACAAGAACTCTCGATAATACAACAGCACTGCTTCCAAAAAACGCCGCTTGGATCTCGTCGTCGTCTATTATGTTCATTGATAAAGTAAAGCGGCATATCATCGAAAAACTCAGAAGCTCGGAGTTCAATATTTTCAGTCAAGCAGTAGATGTTGCAATGGATAGTCTCAGCTGCGGCTGGATTTCCACAATAAATTCTTTAGAACTCCTATTAGTCAGACTTGCAAAAGTATGTCATCGCCCTGGAGTATTACTATCATAAAAAGTACTTTCTAACATGCCCTATTCACCTAGCTTGTCGAATGTACTAAATCTGAATTTCATGCCTTTGTTCAGCGAGTCCTCTATCTATGCACCGTTTGTGCTGCCAACATGACTAGCTCGGAGTCATTCCGACTTGGCTCAAAAAAGAGATCAGCATTATACTCTAGTGCATGCAGAAATCATCGAGCTGAAGAGGAAATGCAGTCTTGGATCGCAGATGAAGACGAGATACCAACACAGCTACCAACATTAACACCAAGTCCTAAGTCTAAATCCAAGCTCAAAACCCCTTCTGAAGGCCCAGAACCCTTTTCTCCCGCAACAGCGAGTCTAGCTTCGTCAAGAAGCGTAAGGGCTAGGATACAGTCTGACTTTTTGGACAAGACATTGATGTCACCTGAAGGTCGTCTCGTTTCTGACACAGCATCGTGCTTCCCGATCGAAAACAGTGATCAGGATCTTTCCGGCGGACCTATAACTGCATATACATCGATCATCAATGCTCCAAGCTTGGATCCCGTTCTAACACTTGAAAATCAGGATAATATATTAGCCTTGTCACAATCTCATTATGGCAATCCAGTATCCAAAACATATTCGCAACCTTCCCATGCACATTACCACACAAACAATAATTTCGACTCTTTCTGGGCATTGAATCGCCATGGCCATCCTCTCGTGGTATCTAGTTTACCAGAGCATGCCGGATACTATCTTGCTCCTAGCTCTGGCTGGAATCTTGCGGAGGACTTTCTAAGTTCGGCGAACTCACCTTCTAACACCTACTACCCTCCGCCCACTTCAATACCTACATCAATCTCTACAACATATGCTGAAAACTTGAAACCAACAATATCAGCATCAATCACACCAACAAACCAGGGAATGCACAGACTCGCTAACCCGTTCCTAAGCACTCTTGCCGGTTCGCCGATTTCTCCTTACACTAACCCCGAGGAAACACCTCGATTTCTTCCCACACCTCCGACACCACCACCCCAAGTCCCTCCCCCAAAACCACGAAAACGGCGTAGAAGCTCACCTCTCAAAGAAGAGGGCAATAATACATCCGGTGCAGCCGGTGCACCGCCACCAAAGCGTCAAAAGAAGACTATGCTGTTCAAATGTCCCATATGCAAACACGACATTGCAGCTCCAAGGATGAATCTTACGCGCCATATTAAGTCTGTTCATGCGGATAGTAGGCAGCGCAGGATCGAGTGTGAGTGGCCCGGTTGTGCTACAACCTTCCAGGCGGCGAGGAAGGATAACTATAGAGCCCATCTAAGGAAGCACCAAGAAAAGTTAGGGGAGGCAGGCAATTAGTTTGATTCTACGAGGTTCCGTGGCTTGTTGCTTGAGTGTTGTCTCTCTTTTTATTTTATTTTTTATTATTCACTGAACCGTTTCGTTGGTCTATAGAGTTTAATGAGCTTGTCATGCTGCCTGCACATTGTTCCTGTGGTGTTATTTTTCTCTCTATTTCTGTTATTTCTTTCTTATAATTTATTTCAACATGTCTAGAGGAGCTATTGTAGAGATATTTATCATCATTTCCTGTACGTATCTTTGACATCAAAGGGTGGTCTATGTGCTTTCTGGACAAAGCACTTCGTTCAAATTTTGTCATCATGCTGGCCTATCTCTGTGGATATTTCCAATGACCATTCAATCAATCAATCAATCAATATCAATTATTCCAAGCCCTCATCTTGGGGAACTTGTTAGGTGATTTGCTGCCCGTAGCCTCTGAATCCTTTGTATAAGCCGAGCTAATCCAACAAAACTCTGATACTTCTCTGATACTCCCTAGACCAAAAAAATAATCACCATAATAATATCCTGATCTGACGGCCTGTCCCACACTCTTGTGCTGCACGATGTCTTGGTACGTAACAGAAAGGAGCGAGGCATCGACGGCACGGATGTTGGAGATATAGATGCAGGTTGAGTTCACATATTGGTCAGTAAATGTAGCGTCCTGCAGTAAGAGCATCGATTCATGCATATTGGTAAATGTTTTGAAGCCTATATTCGAAGCTAAATATTGAATTTTTGATGTGTAGGATCATGGGAACAGCAAAAACAGCCCTTATTCCAATTCCATCGAACTGGAGAACACGTGCACGGCACAAAGCCTCCTGAAAATTCCTAGTGCGCGGCCCTCAAAATTTATTGCACTTTATACCATGTGGTTGCTCTATCCGTTCGAAATTACTGGCCCCTAGCTGCCATGTTGTCGCGCATGTTGGACTCGAAAACCGGATACTGTTGGGACCTTTCTTTTCGAAATCCACAAGTCAAAGCCACAGAATCCACTCAAATGTAACGTCAGGCGTAGACGTACATCTTTTACACGACCGATTTATGGGTACTGCGCTTAGCTGAGTAAGGTCTAGTTCGTCATCGAGACGCCAATAGACCTATAGAACTCTCATATCATGGTGCGAATTGGAAATTCAAGGTGTAGATCAGTCCTGGCATGATAGTGGCAGACTCCGAGGGCCTATGAGCAAGCGCTAAAGGGACCGGTTGTCACCATATACCCGATCGGTGATGTTCCCCCTTGCGTGCATCCAACAGTGCTTTCGACTTTTGAGTGTTTCCGATCTGTACGTAGATTTAGACCCTATATATAGACACCACTGTGATATGCAACTCAATGCCGTGAACAATCCAACAAACACCAAAAATCTTGCAGTCGTCGGCAGGGTTTGCCCATTTACGGTTTACGGTCCTATGATCATGCATTTCCATGATTCATGTACAAACCACTCAAAACGCTTGCGGCACACGAGTTTATTCAATCACTAACGGGAGGCGCCGGTTTTGGTATGAGACAACATTGTTGGAAATTGAGGAATCTAATCCTGTAGTGATATTGAATCGGAAACGACAGGTTGCAGCATTATACTAGCTGAGGGGTATAAAATATGTGGACAGAGGTATATGTGTACAAAGAATAAAGGGAAATAATCGGAAAGGGCAAATTATAATAATGATTGAATAGTTAAAGAGAATAGACGTTGCGTCAATATCTGACTCCAGACACCCATGCTGGAAGAGCTGAAACAAAACAGAAGGAAGTAAAAGGCAAACGAACTTGTGAGTGCATGCGCAAGAGAATCATTTTTTTATTTTTCCCTTCTCGTGATAAGCCACAAAAATAACGGACGCCAGCGGTCGATCGATCCCATATAGTCCCAAGAAGAAGTATTATAGTAGCTGCTGGGCATTAACGAATGAACGTTGACTAAACCAACATCAACTACTGTAAGATTAAAAAGAAAACCTAAGCTCGTAACAAGTGCATGTAAGAGACACAAAGGGAAAAAGTGGAGCTGTTCTATGCACATGCAGCAACAATGCCTGTGGTACCTTCGATGCCGGTGATGTCCGTGCCGAGATCGTTGAAGTTAAGCTCAAAACCAAGGCCTATATCCATGTTTAGACTCGATCGCGCAGACGCAAATGCGAACCCCCCTTGCATAATCGGAGAACAGGGAGAAATTGGCGAAGACAAAAATGTGATAAATGGCGATTTCAAGGATGTGGCAGAGGTAGGAGCAAGCGGTAGTTGGGTTGGAAGAACTGTGCAGTGGAGCGACAAAGGTGGGGGTGCTTGATGAGAGTGTGAGGTCGATGGACGAGTGGAGGCAGAGTGGGTGAGGGATGGGGACGAAGGATATTCCACAAAAGAACTTTCGGGGCAAAGATGGAAGTCAGCGGCAAGGTGGAAGACGCATTCCTGAGCGCCCTGGTCCTCCTCCTCCTCATGATCCACTACCCCGGATTGTTCCAACGTAATTGCTTCAGTGGCAGCATTAAGCGAGGCAAGAAGACGATCGGCTTCCTCTTCATCCTCTCTCTGAGCATCCAAGGCTGCCTGTCGTTCTCTTTCAATGGTGAGCTCAGCCTCCAAAGCCCTTCTGCGGTCACGGGCCTTCTGTCGCTCAATCTCCATTCTAAGAGCGTAACGAGCTTCACGAACCATCTCTAAGTCACGGATGGCACGACGCTCGATCTCGGCGACTTCGCGTTCGATCCTATCCACCAGTGTGATTTTGAGGAACTCTTTACGTTGCTCCTCGCGCTGTCGAGCAGCAACCATGGCTCGTGTTTGAGCCTCGGCGGCGCGCTGGCGACAAGCACGCTCGCGTTTATGGAAGCTTGCAGTCGAAGAAACAGAGTCCACACTCGATGGGCGGAAAAGATAAGCCTCGGTGAAGAGTGCCTCGGTTGGGGAGCTAGCTAGACGAGCAGCAGCAGCATTTTGTTGCATGTAAACCGACATCATGCCTTGCTTGAAAACGGAATCTGAATGAGCGAGGTGTTCGTGAATCTCATTGATTTGTGATGAAAATTCCTCAAGGTCGTGCTCAATGGGTGAAAGCAGCTTAGAGCTAGCGTGATCAAATCCAGCTGCGGGAGGAGGACTTGGGGGAGCTGGAGTCCCATGAGATACCCCGCTCTCCCAAAGTTTGATTGCACTACGCTGAGCAGCATTTGGTGGCGTGATTGGGCAGACGTTATAACTTGGGGGTGGAGTAGGGGCGTCTTCGACATTACTCCATTGTTGTCTAAAGTGTGTACCCTGACGTAGACAGTAGTAGTCGCTGTTGGATGAAGCTGGGCTGTCATATTCTGTTGGAGAGGTTTCAATATCGAAGAAAGTTCGATTGTGAGCCAAGCCGGTAGAAAGAGGACGCCCAGTGGAGAATTGTGGGAGGGCCATATCAGTCTTCAACAGTGGTGAATTGAGGGCTTCAAGCCTACGTGGGGAAGGATGCTGAAGAATGGCAATACCAGGCGACACTGAAGAAGCCATGGAGGATATTGTGGCCGACGAGAACACAGATGGAGAGTGCGAAAGTGCTGGTGAGGTGAATGATGTGTTAATGGCGGAAAGGGTTGGCTTTGGGGACCGTCTGAGGCTGGTGGTGGTGGTGGTCGCCATTGTGAAATAAAAGAGTTATCTAGCGAGGTCTACTCGAAGTTTACTGTTTCCAGAATATAATTTGAGGATCTCGACCTGGAGATGTATCTAACAAAGATGTTAGTTTTTTTTATTTTATATTTTCGTAAAATATCAGAAACAAATGGATCGATTCAGTGTTAGAAGACCAGGCCTCTCGAGTGACATAAAAGGAAGGCAACCGCAGTCTGAAAGGAGGCAAAGAATAAAACCTGGCCTCTAGATGAACACCCCGAAACGGTATGCGTCGCTTTAGGAAAAATTCCTCTGTAGACTGAAAGGAATGCAGCCGTAGGCGCTGAAATATAGATGAACTTGAGGACCTAGGACAGTATTGAAGAGCTACAGACGGGTAGGGAAGCAAGTACCGACAGGCTAAAGGCTTAGAAGATCCCAAGATAGGAATGGCCACGAGAATATATTGAAAGTAGGTTCGAAGATTATATGACGGCTAGACGAACTAGCAGACATATCAGGGAGCCAAGTGCATATTTGCTGGATCCAATACATCTCGATGGCCCAGCTCCAGTATCGAGACATCAAACAGCACTGGGTTTCAAACCCCACCCAGCATAAAAAACGAAATGAAGCTTTTGTTTAGAACGGCGTATACTGGGGCGCATGAAGGGAGCACTGGCAATGCAAAGCGTATGACATCCATGTCCGAGAGTCCGAGCCCTCGAGCTTAAGAGTCTGACGAAAAAAAGTGTTGATGTTGCATTAAGCGCTCTCACATCCTCGCATCCCTTATATAGCTGCTTTACCGCTATGGACTACAAATCTCTCCAGTCGCCAATCTTCCAGGGAAAACTTCAAATAATTATAGGGGGGTGCGCAGTGAAGGAAGAAAGGAAGGGTATTTCGATTTTTATGTATGAATGGCGGCGAGAATCATAAGCTTACCTGTGCTTAAACCAACGGTCCCAACGGCCAAAGTAAAACGAAAAATATAAAATATAAGATAAAATAAAAATTTAAGATCGAAGCTACCAAGTCGAAACCCGAAATACCGTCGAAAAGGATTATATCGATATCACGATATCACTTTAGACACGATGATAAAATATCGATGCGTTGGAAGGGATACTGTCGAGATTAGATGTTGCTATCGATTAGGAATGAATAGTATCAAGCACCAGGCCTGCACAACTTGAACTCCCAGCGCGAATTAGTACGTGGCTCTGTGTGACATTCCACAAGATATCAACCGTCTGGAGGGACAGCTGTCGAACTTCGACGTCACTTACCTGAGCAAGGGCAAACGAAACGAGATAAAGAAAGCAAAAACAAAAATGATGAAGCACTTAGACTGGGTTGACAAACTGCTGCATGGGGATCAAAAGGGAAGAACAGAACAACGGTGATGGCGGCAAAAGAGTTGAAGATATATTCTCCCTTTTCTCGATTTCAACGCATGCGCCTGCAGCACGAGTCTCGTTTCTGCATCCCTATAATGCAAGTACATGGAGACGGTGGGTAGGGATCACCCGTGCATCCGGAGGCTTACCAAGTTCACTCATTTTTCTCCCGTTGAGGTTTGCTCTTTTCCCGCAAAAGATGGATTTAGAAGTTGTAGATGCCCCCTCTTTTGCACCAATAGGGAGGCGGGACGGGATTATGGAGGTGTGGGCCATCGCCGCCATGGCTAAACTTGGTCGCTTCGGGAAATAAGCTGCCCAGCAAACAAACCGTTCGAGAAGATGGATACATGAGGTTATTGCGCAAATCGGTCAGAGTGGCTCAAGACCGGTCATCCTTGCTTGGATGGTTAAAAATCAAGGGCCTGTTGGTGCTCAGGCGTCCTCATTAGTGAGGCACATGCCTTCAATGATTTCTAACAATAGATCTGAACGGGTTGAAGCGCGCGTTTTCCTTCCACAAAATTCAATTACCTATATTTCTTCCATTCTAAACCCTCAATTATAAATGCCAAAGGGCTAGTTTTGTTCTGTATCATACTATCGGATATAGTAGGAATATTGACTTCGAATTATGTATGTGGCCAAGTGTTTAGGAAATATGGGCTCATGTCTGTCCTAACAGTAACCCCCAGTCCAGGCTTGGGTCAAAGAAGCTAACAGAGTAGCTAGGTCTGCGGCCCTTATATTCTTTTGAGAACTATGGAGCTGTGATGGAGGGAGGAAGTCTATGCAGCGAATATTAGTTTCTGAGACACCATGACTTACTATAAAATAATACTCAAGTTCAACTTGCCTTGTGTGAAACCACACACTAAAGACATTACTACTTTTTTTTTTGAACAGGGCGTCTAAGCTGCGTCGACGGTTCGAGCGAATCATAATGAGCGGAGAGGCGCTGGGCAGGAACACGCACAAGATGGGGCGAACGCCAAGTTCCACAGCTTCTACTCTGCCATTTAATTGGCTCAAAGTCTCAAAATATCTGGCATGGGTTTACGCGCTTTCGTTCCAAAATCAACAGTTGGCGAACAGGCTCATAGAACTTCCCTCGAGGTTATGTTGACCAGGTGTTCGTTCGCACTGGAAGGTTAGCCTCGAAATTCTTAGTACCCGATTTCCGAAGAAAGTCAAGATGATATTAGTAGATCATGTTGCACCGAGAATTCCAACCCACTGCCTGTGGTAGACCCTTGTCATATAGACATTTTTTTCCCTCTTCTAAACTGTCCTTCGAAGTTCAAATTTGGTCTCTTATGTGCCTGTCCGAAAGTATTTTAAAGTCGACTAGTCCTGATTGTATTCATTCTTTTTTTTTGTTATTAGCTTGTTTCTCAAAAAAGCTCGCGCAGTAATCGGGTAGATGACAGTCTAGCCAATCACACAGGTGGTAGGCGGCTACTCTAGTTTCAATAAGAGAGATTCATCATACCCATACTTCCAGCTCTGGCTTCATTGGCCCATAACTCTGCCTAATTTGATAGACCTTCTTCCGAATGTCAAAATTCAGCCAGTGTCTGTAATTTTCGTGTCACCATCCGGATACCCACTTCTGCTGAACCTTAAGGCTCGTCTTAACCCTGCAACCTGCCCTAGCCAGTCATTAATGCAAGATGCAAATATAGCATTGTGATTCCACTAGCATTTCGCTCCAGTAGCTAGTAGCTAAGGGAAACTTGCAAAAAGATCTTGACGCTTTGAATAGCAAAAATAGCTATTAACTATAGATCGCGCAAGGATGATCCGACCGAAGACGCGATTAAGCAGCCAGGCACCGCATTGTCCTGTGGGATGACTTGTTGATATTCGATGGTGTTTCCACGCTGATGGTTTCTTAAAGTTTCCATTCTCTCCGCACTGTTTTATTCTTCACAAATACTATTGCAAAAAGCAGTAGACACGAGTTTCCTTAATTATTTTCCTTGATTTTTATTTCTTTTTTCAATTCCTTTTTGTCGAATTTCCTCAGCATTGTTTTAATATTCTGAAACATTTGCTATAATCTAGACGGGGACCGTTAAGTTTTTAATTTGGCTTTGGGTTGGTATATTCGAGGTTCATTCTTTCGATTGATTAAAGCGAAGGTGTCTCCTCTTGATTTCTTCATTTTTTTTCAGTATCCTTTCTTTGAGGCCCTGCCCTTCGTTTGGTATCGCAACTTTGTACCCTCATATGGTCATACCGTCACCAGACTCCAGCACTAGTGACTTGTTTGCTTCAACCTTTGGGCCGCAATCCTTTTCCATATTGGGTACAGAGCACTTCGTCAATTAAAATCTGATATCAAAATTGAATAGCAAGCACTTCTTTTACCCAAAAGGCTAGGGCAGTATAATTGATTGCTAGAGTCGATCATTACATACTTGAGCCTTGGCTATACACATTTCCGCTCGTTTGGATTAATCACACTATTTCTGTATTTCTTGCCTACCCGGATAGTAGGAAGAAACTCGAGGCTGGAAACCTTTTATTTTTATTGCACAGAGTCTTTCGTTTCTTTCCTTTGAAACTGAGCCTGGCAGCTTTTTTTTCTCCCTTTCGACTTTTGTCGTCATTGGTGTCAAATATATACTATCCGAGAGCTCGAGCCCGACCATCAAGCTTCGCAACGCACGAAATACAACAAAATGGCAAGATCAACCACAATATTCGTCGTCTTGACAGCACTTCTCCAGATATGTCTTTTAGTATCAGCATCTCCAACCTCAGGGAAATCGTACCCGGAACTTGATTTATTCGCACGACAGGCCACGAATGATAATTGCGGGGCAGGAAGCAAACGATGCACCAATCCAAGCGTTTCTAACTTCTGTTGCCCAACTGGCACCGATTGTATACCGGTTCTCGGGAATAAGGCAGTTGGATGCTGCCCCACAGGCCAAGATTGCCGTGTGATCGGGACTTCAGAGTGTAGCAGCATCGAAGGGGCTGTTAGCTCACCGTCGCTACTTACCCGCTGCAGCAGCGGAAAATGTTGCCCTCCCGGTTATCTTTGTGATGGCAACCACTGTCAACTTGAGTATAGTAGCTGGCCGACAAGTGTGGGCGACAAACAGCCAATTTCTACTTCTTTGCCATCTGAGGGTGGAGGAAATTCAACTTCACTCTCTGAGGCCCAGAAACTTGCAGGGTTTATCTCGAAAGATGACTGTCCCGTCATCACAGCAGGCGGTTTCGCCTCAGGATTTGCACCCGGTTTGGTCGTCGGAGCTGCTTTAGCATCTCTTATATTCTTTGTGAGGAACCGTAAGAGAGAGAGAATGGCACGTAGCCGAAGCTGGAGCCGTATGCCATCTAATCGCACCGGATCTCGCAAGGGAAGCCGTAATGCTACAAATGAAAAGGTTAACTCGAAGGTCTCATCCAAGCAAAGCGTCACCATCGGATACCAGCCAGAGGTTGTCGTCACTGCTCCATCCGAGACATATGATGGCTTGGGTGTCTCGATCGAAGGTAGACACTACGCCACGAGTAATACAAGCACTCAAATGTTCGCTCAATATGACGATTCGAGCGATCAGGAGACTAGCCGTCGTGGCCATCATCGAGCCCATGGAGAAACCCCACCTCTGCCTTCTCTGACTATTCATGGAGCCGATTCCGCCGCTATGGGTCATAGTTCCGAGTTTCTAAACCCATCCGGATCAAACACGGTAACCCCTACAAAGAAGCACAAGCGCAAGAACTCGAACCCCAGTTTCAAGGATCTTGCAAACGCTTCCAGGCTCAAATTCCGTAACTTACTCTCCCACGAGAATTTGAAGGAACAACGAGGAAGCTTAGGTTCAGAAACCTCTGTCGGCTCATCTATCCATTCGAGTGTCTTCACTGGTAGTGAAAGACAGTCTCGTGGAAATCGATACCCAATCGCTGTACAAACCAACGGTAAAGCTAAGGGGCCTTCGCAGGTGACTCCAACAAGCCTTCGACAGGAAGTTACCCTTGAGAGAGCCAATACCACTGCCACTGATGCCACCAACATCGATGACCAATACACGCCAATCACACCATCGAACCCAAGGGCATTCACAAATTCCGATGTTCCAAACCCTCCACCAGCCCCAAGCTCTCATATTGCCCTCCCTGTTATCCAAGTTCCCCCTCACGAACATACACTCCGCCCACAACTCACCTCTCCTGAACTCCGTGAGCAATATTTGAACATCCCACAACCCGCACCCTTGAAGATCGGCGATAGGGCATCAGTGGCCACAGAGATGACCGAGGTAGAAGGTTACCGCTCTCCGTTCCATGACCGCTTCCAATATGGTACCTACATTGAAGAAGGTATATCACCTTCTGACTATAGCGATGATGACCGTCGCTCCATAGCAGCCAATAGCACATATCCTTCTTCATTCCTCGACATCCATTTCGATAGCAATATAAGCCCCATCTCACCCATCGACTCAAACACTTACGGGAACAGGACCCTCAGAGAAGCCCCATCACTCCCTGTCATCCCTCCATTGTTCCAGCACAAGAATAAACCACTTGAAACTCTCGCTCATTCTAACCCAAACCTCAAATCGAGTGGCTCAAGGAAGAGCAATAAACGAGCGGGTTCCCCAATTGACCGTGAAAGTGTCGATATCACCGTCCTTATCGACGATCCAACTCACGGAGTAGCTCCAAATTGGAGGAACAACAACCATGTCGACAGCACCGGCTCCAACCGCACAATTGGGATTGGAGGAGCAATGACTGGCGGCAGATACACTCTGCAGACCATGGAAATAAACAAGTTCTAAACATATCGACGGATTTGCAGACTAGTTCCACCTTTTTATTTCCTTCATTTCTTTCTTCCTTCGCGTCGAACGTTCTTCCCTTCTTCCCTGCTTTCTTTCCTTCTTCCCTTCTTCCTTCCTTTCTTTCTTCTTTCTTTCCTTCTTTCTTTCCTCTGGGTTTCTTTTGTTATTTCTCAACCCAGCCTGAGTCGACACTGGAATGTCCACCCTTTTTTTCTTCGCTCTATCTATAGGCATTTCTACATTCACGTCACTCTTTTGTGGGATATTTCTAGAAGCTATAATAACCCGATACCCATTACTGCATTTTTACATGGCGTTTTCTTTATTCAAACAGGAGGGTTAGAAGATAACCGCCCTGCCTTCCCTCGTTTACATATTATATACCCTATGGCCACGGGATAACACCTCGATGTCTCTGGCTCTATAGACAAAGATTTAAGTCTTTCTCGATTAATACTTTCATAATTCGATACTAGCATTGTACAATATAGTGTAATGTTTTCCCCCTTACTGTCTAACTATAATCATAACCCAAATTCAAATTGAAACAAATTATAGTATAGAAACTAGTTGCTCTTTCTCATGGTATAGTTGTAGCTAAAGTTGATTCATTTAAACATACATCTGTCATCAACTATTTGGGTAACTGCTCTAATAAGATCTACAAAACGCACCATTTTAACTTAATTATGTATCATGAATACATTACGTACTCGTTGACATTAGGTAATTCAATGGTATGTTAAATCGCAGGCAGCTATCTATGAAGCGGTGATAAGAGAAGAAAAAAAGCGTAACATCCACCGCAAGCGCTGGTAGTAAAGCTCCACTCTTTTCTAACTTCAACGGAGATATTTCCCAACTCCAACTACCTTCCTCCCCCTCCCAAAAGGGACAGAAGATCGTCGTCAAAGCTGCCAACACTTCACTTCAAGCTTAGTAGCGGTGTGATGTGTCGTACCGTGATCCAACAAAGGGGTAGTATAAGAGAAAAGAAAAGGAAAAGGGAAGACAAATATTCGCCGGCGCTTCACGACCGCCCCGGTTGAGGACGGGCAAAACTACTGGGGTCGAATGGATCGATTGGAAGGAAGTAGAGGCGCATGCATCTCCGGCCTTTTCGGCTGGTACCTGAACTAGGTCTCCCGAGTTTCGAAAAAGGGATTGATTTACCTTTTGTTATGGGGCATAGAGGGAGAAGGAAAAAGAAAGAGAGCTTGAGGCGAGCTATACTTGAGTTTGCTCCTTTTATCATCGCAGTCGGCGGCGGTCGGTGAGATGGAGATGGGGATGAGATGGTAATGTTGATGGGGGGAAGCGACAGCTAGTTTGGCTGGTGCCATGTCTGCAGCACGGCTCGAGGGTGGTCGGGGAACCGCTTGCCAAACCGACAATGCCCCACGTTTGTGTAAAAGCGTACTTGAATCGGATAATTGGTTTCTCCCTCTCACAATACTGCTTAATCGTGAACCCCAGGGGGGAAGTGGGTAGACTTTTTCCATCAGGCAGAGAGAGAGGCTTGATGTTTCAATGAATAGATATTGTTGATTGAAGTATAGCCAGCCTTCTCAGGCATAAATACTATCCATTGACAGGCCATTTGCTGTAAGGACAGGAAGGTGTTATTATATATAACATAGATGCAGACAGGGAGATCAGATTCCCAAGATAGCTAAGATCGAAGACATGCAGTGTATGAACTTGTGTGAGTTGTCATGAGTTTGAAATAGTTCGCTGCTCACCAGCACAAATAAGGTAGGAAGAGAGGAAGGAAATTAAAGGAAGAATTTTTGAATAAGAAAGAAGTGAGAGATCGATGTCTTCATCATATAGAAAAAGCTGGCAACCCAGTTAATTGAAAGGACAGCATTGTATATGAGTATCTGATGTAAAGAAATAGACAAGAAAAAGATAACTCCATTAATTGCAGTCATGATATCCCCAAAGACAACCCTAACAAGCTAATCGACAAGACATTTATTTAAGTAAAAGAAAAATTATTAACGAAAAGGTATCGGAAAGAGGAGCAGCTATATTATCAACATGAACAGAAGAAAAGATCCTGTCTTTTTGGAGTCGTAGTGATTTTTTCTTTTCTTTATTTGTTTTTTATTTTAGTCTACCCTTCTCTTCTTACCCTTCGGGGCGGCCATGAGCTTCATCCGTGCTGTTCTCGAGAAGGCGGCGGCATCTGCTCTTATTGTGACGATCTTCTTGTGACGGCAGGCATTTGTCTTTTTCGGCCTCTCACCGTTCGCGCTAAGGATTCCAGACTCTAATAATTCTTCTTCATCTTCTTCGGTGATTGGTGTCCTCGGTGTAGCAGAGGAATAGATCGGGAAGGGGCTCTCAAACGCAGCATTGTAGTTTGGAGAGAAAGCGGGGGAAGGTGGGATTCTTAATCTCTTAGTTCCTGCGGAAAGAGGTGTTCTAAGAGATCCTGGAGTCATTGGTGTGTATGGAGTAGGAGGTGGGAAGTAACAGTAGTTCGAGCAGGCAGTCACGGAGCTAGTGCTATCACAAGAAGACTCTCGGCTGCTGTTGTTGCTTCCACTTTCGTTGCCCGACTTTTTCGAAAGGCTAACTGGCTTCTTGATAACTCGTCGTCCGCGGCATGTGCAGCCTGCGGAGAGTGGTGCTGAGGTTGGTGGGAGGGGAACGTCTCTGAAGGTAGCAGATGTGGGTGTCCTCATGACTATGGATGTCTTCAAGAAGTCCAAGTATGCGGATGGTGGAGTTAATGGAGTCTTGATGCCATCGTCAAGGGATAACGACTTGAGACCGGCGGATTTCGGTGTCGGTAATTCGGATGGGAAGGATGGAGATTGCGGAGTATCCGGAAGTCGGGAAGGTGGAAGGGAGACTGCATTGGCAGATTTAGGAAGGAGTGGTGAAGGAGACATATTGTGCGTGTACGTGTGTCGATGTATTGTTGAGTCCGAATGTTAAAAGCCCAAAAGGAATCGACCTCCGCTCGCAGAGCTGTAGAGATAGTTTGTCGGTAAAATAAATAAAATATATCGAATTGGACTGTATCGCCGGAAAATGTTAGGATAATTTTGGATATGATTCAAGTTTCGCAGTTCGAAAGCAGTATATGTATGTGCGAATGTTTGTGTGAATGTTTGCGAATGTGATATGTAGTGCGACTTTTTTTTCTCTCCTGAGCAAACACGTAATGGGTATCAAGTGGAAAGATGAAAAGAAGAAGTGATCAAGTAAAAGCCACAGCAGGTTAGGCTAAACTTTTTAAACGTCAATGTCGTAAAGGGTATCAAGTGGACTCGGGTATCTTCAGGGCGAGGGAGGCGAGGGAGAACGTTTGATATTTGAGGGTCTGAAGTTCGGATACAAAAGGTAGTTGTGAATGGTATGGGAGTATGTGTATGTATAAGAATGGGATTGGACGGATGACAATGGGAGGTCGAATGTCTTTATACAGAAGATGAACGGAACCAGAGAACAAACAACTGGTGCCTACAGGCGCATGCTGCATATGCACGGAAACGCTCAAGAGGCGAGAAGGGAAGGGCTGTTGGCGGAACTGACCTTATCCTGTTTGTTCTAAGAAAGAATCGAAAGCGCCGATTGTTGGATGGGAACTTGCACAGGCGCCTAAGGCTAGCTCGGTGCTTAGTGGGAGCGCACAAGGTAAAACCGGGAGTCGTAGGCTGGACTTTGGCGAAAAGAGAAAATAGAAAACAGAAGAATGGCAAACTGGAACTAGCTCGCAACCGGGAAAACTTTGTTCGGCTGCGGTGGCTAATGAACACAAAAACTGTTTGGGAAAAAAGCAGAGAAGACTAGTTTTAGACGTTCGGTTGAAGCAGTAGGCGACAAAGTAGATATATTGGCTTCAGCTGTCGGGCGACAAGTCAGGAAGATTAGATCGGGGTGGTGGTTGTTATAGTTGTTATGAAGGAACAATAGGCGGGATGTGAGAAGTGAATGTGATAGTAAGCTCTGATTCTGCGACAGGCAAACCGACCACTAAAAAAGAAAGCGCCCGCGGGAAGGAAAACGTGGACAAGCAAATTGAGGGGGGAGTCGTGATTTGTCCGGGTTAATTCTTGGTTCCCGTCCTAACTATAGTCTGGGAGTAGAGTATAGTATAGTGTATGCAGTATCGTAGTATCAAGCAAGCAGACGGAAACGATCGGTGGAAAACTGATACTCGGCAGGCTGGGGAAAAGAAACAAAGAAAGAAAAAAATTTAAAAAATTATGCTGCTACAAATGACGGTGGATGAATCGATTGGGGAGGAATGGATCTGAAAGTTTTCCCTGGTTCGACAGGAAAGGGTAGAAGGTGCTTATTATGTATGGCGAAGTAGCTAGCGCGCGACTGAGAATAAGGAAACGGGAGCAAGAGCAGGGAGGTATGGGCAGAACATGGTCCCAAGCAGGAGGGCTGTGATGTGGTTGGCTAGATTCTGCTAGAGGCCTGCAGCCAGAGTCGAGTCAACGAGAAAAAGCATGCACACTTCATACACCCACTTTTAGCAGCAGACTCCGACACTGGCTCTTTTCTTTTTTTATTGCTACCGACTGACGGGTGAGGCAGACGGTCTGACACCTGACTGGTTACCCAGTCTGAGGGCAAGACACTCCGCTCACACCCTTCTTGAATCTTCAGGACCTCATCATGATGGTGGTGGGCATTGCATGGCCGGACATGGGCCTAATATGGGCTGCGCTGGGGACAAGACCTTCTCGGGGTCTGAAATTTGCTGTAATCTGGGAAATATGATGTTTTATGACCTAAGTTTAAACAAAGTGAACGGTTCTCTCAGTGTAATCAAACGGATCCGGGAAACCAACTCAATTTTGAAATTCCGAAATTTCGTGACAATATCAAAGCGAAGACACACTAGCAGGCCATGTGTGGTGGGGCTCTCAGGACACAAAGCCCGCTCGACGGTTCCGCCAAACAGGATTTGGAAGCGGGACGAGAGAGGGGAACGGACCAAAAAAAAAAAGGTAGATGGCCCGCCTACTGTGTAGATGGTCTCCAGCGGAGGCTGTCAGTGCTTGGGCCCCATCGGCAAAAATCACTTTCTATGACAAAAGGAGACATCAATAGATAGCTGAGACAAGATCGAAGACAGGACAAGCCAAAATAAAAGAAAAGAAACTCTGCACAAAAATTCGTTGCCGCGTTGGTTCTACAGAATCAGATGTCTTATCCGTCCGTGATACGACATCCTAGGACCTCAGCGGCAACAATGCCAAATAACATGCGCTCAAGATGTAATATCTACGGAAAGTATGATATCCTTATGACGAAGCTGGACAGGGTTCTGGAATGTGTGGAGAGATTATCAGGTCAAAACGCTGGGTTGAGCCTTATCCTATGTTCCGGGGTCGGTTTTGATAGGCCAAATTTATTGTAGACGATCTCAGGCACCAACATGTTAACAAGCCAATTTTCAGATTGAGTGCACTCGAGTAATGGGGACGGCAGACATCTCGAATAAATGTGTGAACAAAAAAATGCCCACGAGGCCAGCCCAGTGAGTGAAGCTGGCCGGAAAGTGGAAATGAGGGTGTCCTCCCGAGACGTTGGAAATCACCTGATGGCGTAAAACCACTCCGCCGAGGGACCCAAATGAAAGGGTCTGAATTGAATAATAAAATCATCCCTGAGAGATGAAGCCAATGGCTTGAACATGTTGGAATACGTCGACCAACGCCGGAAAGTGAACCTAACTGTCTGTTGTGTCTCTCAATTCCAACATCGAAGGTATTGAACTATACTATGTACTATCAAACCGGGCCGGGGAGCCCAGGCGCCTAAGCCATGGCAGGTCCGGATACAGGAACACTAGACAGCTCCGACAAATCCTGCCTCTTTGAAGGAGAAGACTGGTCACCGAAACAATAGCGGAGGAGGAAATAAATGCAAGGTCAGGGGAACAGACGACAAGTCTTGAATGGGAACAATATCAATTCCCATGAGCCAGAGTGAAACGAAGCCTTCGGCATCGTGCTTCTTACCTTAGCGAAATGCAGGTTCAATCTCACAAGTTAGAATTGCAATATTGCAGAATGCGAAACAAAGCCGAGATGGATGTTGATATCGGAATAAAATGTTTCGCGGTTTTTATCTCCAAGGTTCACTTTGGAAGGGGTTCCATACCCCTCTGCACAACATGCAACAGCCGGCCATGTAAGGCATTGGAGACCTGCATACCTCAAAAGAGCCGCATCTGTATCCTCTCGTTCAAGAAGATCCCTTTCCCCCAGACCAATGACAATTTTCTAAAATGAGAGACCTCCAAATGCCATTTTGGTTGCCCCGTTTGAACAACTCATCAGTGCATATTCTCTCATCCCGTCCGAAAGGTATCTCTACTCTAATTGTCGAGCGAAACTGGTAGCTCCAAATGTCACTTTTTGCCAGAGTGACCCTTGTGTGGTGTGGGCTCTCCATTTTTCGCTCAAGGGAAGGAAGGGGACCCATGAACCAAGTATCCGGTAAACTGCTACGATTGGTCCGTTTGAGACAGACTTTCTCCACACCCATTTCAAGGAGGTGGGCGCCAACTGAACGGATGCGAGAGGCCAAAGCAGGCCGTTCATTGGTCATGATAACTCAGGCTCATTGGCTGATTCCACCCCCCAGCTGATCAATGCAACTGGGAGGGGTGCTTAGACCGCGCGCTTAGGAGAATAAGAACATAATTTTCCTTTCCCCCCTCTGACAGGAAAAAGATTTGAATGACCGAGAAAAAATGAATTCAAGCTGAATAGCGATCTCACACATTGCTGCCTGATTGACCCTCATTTCTCAGTTTCAGGTTGAAGATTTTATAACTTTTGAGGTTCCCGTTTTTTTTCTGATACGTGCTGGCAGCTGCCAGTCATCATTCGAATATTCCAGTGGTTTCAGATGCTCCCGCTTCATGATATCGGTAACGTCAGTGACAAGTACAACGGCTGTTAGACTGCTTGTTACAAGTTGATCGAATGGAGCGGAAAGACTTACCTTAGGGCTACGGTCGGCCTCAGCCAGTTTCGATTAGTTGAGCTAAATATCCATTAGGTGCATCGCCTCGCAGCTCGCAAAATTGGCCTGCAGACTCGCTCCGTACTCTAAGAATAGAGTTAAGGAAAGAACAGCCTGCAGCTTGCAGACCACAAAACGAAACAAAGAAATCGCAGGCTGTTCGCTAAAACACCAAAAATAGAGTCGCTGCCATAGATATCGCTGGACCTGAGGCCTTTGTAAATGCGAAATGCAAGCCTTATCCGTAGAGGCCTTAAGCCTTAAGAAAGGATATGTTTCATAACCTTGTACAGGACTTTTACAGCGAATGCTAAATTTAGAAGACCCTGACATGTCCGAAAGCGGTAATCAATCTTGGCTTCCAATTTTCCAACATTATTAATGTGTTGTCGAACCGTAGGCTCGACCGACATGCATACCAAGTAGTGTCGACATGTCTGGTACACAGTTGAGGAGTCTGGCGACGAGACAAGTCTGGTACCAATAAGACTAAGTATCATCGAAGTTGCGAAACCAGTAGACTACCCCTTAGATAGGTGACCTCGGCTTATTCGATGTTTTGTTTTATGCATTGTAACCTGCACGATCCCGCCATCGATACTACTACGCCTCCTCATGTAATGGCGTTTTGGAACCAAACTATCAAAAAATAAAGACAAAGAAATCTGATGATTGAACAAGTTAAGATATGTATTATGTTTCTAGGGGAACAGGCTTCTTCTAAACACGTATATGTGTATAACAAGTTAGGAAAACATGTATCTACCAATATAATACAAAGGAAATAAGACGTAGTGATTTGGTAAGTACTATAAGTTCAGGGTACGTATTCTACGCAGTGTTGGCCTGAAAGTATAGTGGAGAGAAAAAACATATTCGGCGCCCGTTCAAACCCAATGCAAGAGGTTCAAAGACACAAGGAAATTAAGAAAAAGCGAAAATATAAGACTTAACAATTACTATAGGCGACGTCATAGGAACAAATTTAGATATGCAACAATGGCTATGACCATCATAGGGAATGCGCACCGAGATCCAACGATGGTGTACGATGCAGCACTCCTAACTTCCAAAGGCTGGATCACTGTCCGTTTGACGTTGGCAACCGCTGTAGGAGCATACTGCCTATCATCTACAGTCTTTACGGCTTTCGACAGTGTAGTTGATAACTCTTCAGGAGCCAATCCATTACCACGAGGTGTGATAATAAACCCGGTTCGAAGAGGATTCTCTGGTGCAACAGCTGATGAAGGCTGGTCCGATTCAGATTCAGGATTTGGGGCCATAACCGGGTACGGGATCAGTGGCACAGGATAGGTGGCTGTGAGAGTCACTGAAATGACGTTGCCGAAATCTGATGGAGCAGGTGGGTAAGGGACACTTGCACTAACTGTTGCGGTTTCAGATACTGTGATAATAGCAGTAGCATCTGTTGGCGCTGGGATTGCTGTTTCTTGCGCTGGCGGTGCTGGTATAGCAAAGATAGTGCTGTATTGGGTGACTATAAGATGCTGGGTGTTTGTGACTGTAAAGTATTCAAGAACAGTCGACTTAGTATGTATAATCTCTTGTGTCGGCGCTGGGCCAGAAGATGGCACTACGAGATCTGGGGGATAGCTAGTCTGTGCGGTCGTTTGAACAGGTCCTAGTACGGATGTCGATACCACCGGGGTATCAGGCGTAGTGCTTGGATACACGGTAACCGTTTCCGCCGGAAGCGTGACATACACGGTAGAAAGTTGTGTTATCGGCGTAGGGACAACCTCAGCTGGGCCAGTAGATAGTGTTACAATAGCAGTACGCGTATCAGTACTAATTACTACGAAGGAGGTTTGTGTAACAAAAATCGTAGAAGATTCCGGGGTCGGTGTAGATGTGCCAATTGTAGTCAAAGAAGTTTCTGTAGTGAAACTTGTTGGTAGTTCCAAGGTTGAGGTCACCGTCTCCTGACTACCACCAGCGGGCTCAGTACCAAAGCTGTAGGTTGCAGTAGATGGGACAATCAAATCAGGAGGAGACCCGGGATTCCCAGTTGGGAGATATTGAGTGGGCTCTGGAGATACTTCAGTTGGAATAAGGACTTGCTCAGTTGTTGATGGAACAACTTCTGAGGTCTGTACGGGAGGAACAGCCTCGGAAGTAGGTAATGGGGTTTCGCTTGGATCTGGTATCGCATAATCCGGAGCTGAAGAGGGTAAAATGAGATCCGGGCCTCCAGGACCTCCTTGAGATGGTACTGGGGTGGGATCGAGAACTTCAGTAGTTGGTGCTGGAGGAGCGACCTCAGAAGTCGGCAGTGGGGCAATTTCGCTAGGAGCCCCAGGTGCTTCACTTGGGTCCGGAACAACAGAGTCTGGTGTTGAAGAAGGTAAAATAATATCTGGCCCCCCAGGCCCTTCTTGAGATGGAGCTGCGGTAGGACCCTGGACTCCGGTAGTAGGGGCCGCATATTCAGAAGTTGGTAATGGTACAACTTCAGTAGGAGTTCCGACTACTTCTGTTGGGGTTGGATTAAGGATATCTGAGGTTGAAGAGGGCAAAACAATGTCAGGCCCTCCTCCTCCCTGAGATGGAACCGGATTAGGACTAGAGGCCTCTGTGGTCGGAGCCGCGTACTCAGGAATGCTTGTAGTGGCTGGAACTTCTGATGATGTCGAGGCCTCCGAAGGAACGGGTGGTGCCGGGGGCGGAAGAATGACTGTGTCATATTTTGTGGTAGTTCTCGAACTGACAGTCTCCAAGGTAGTCAATCTCACCGTAGATAGAACTGTCGTCGGCTCGAGGGCGGTCGTAAAACTCGTCGTTTCAGTGAGATCTTCAGAAGTGCCTGTGGTGCTCGAGAACGGCGGCGTGATAAAACTGAATCCTGGACCAAAGCCCGGAGTCCCAGTAGGCACGACAGGCTCTGATGTTATAGTTTCTTCTATCGACGAAGTACTTTCTATACTAGACGTGGCAGAAGCCTTCGTACCGGTAGTGACACTATCTATCTCCGTCGTGGGACTGATTACTTCAGAAATTGTACTTGGTGCCATCTCACTGCTAGTATCGCTCGTTGCGTCTGGACAGTCTGGTTGATTCAACCCGCCGCACAAGTCGGTTGGATATGCTTGCCCAGCTGAGGTCGTTGGAACATGTGACGTCTGCGTTCCTGTTGTTTCATCTGGGCAGTCAGGTTGGTTCAACTCACCACACAGGTCAGTTGGATACGCCTGCTCAGTCGAGGATTCAGACGTCGTAGCCTCAATGGAAGAGCTCGTGCTAGTAGTCTTTTGGTTCTCAGTCGTTTCTGTAGTGGTTGGGATAACTTTCACCGATGTAGATAAAGTTGGAGGCGCGATTGTCGTAAATCCAGGCTCGGTGAGTAAATCTGTTGGGAGAGCATCTATGCTAGTAGTCTCCGGACTATCCTCAGTTGTCGAACTAGTTTGAACTGGCTCTGCCAGTGTAGATGAAGAAGTTGGGGACTCGATTGTTTTGAAACCAGATTCAGTGAACAAATCAGTCGGGACCACGTCAGAACTTGTAGTTGATGAACTGGTAGTCTCGATTGTTGGGGGCATTTCATATTGCGCTGTTGATGTTTCTGAATCCTTCGCATTTGTTGAAGTGGCTTTGAGTTCATCAGTAGTGATAGTGGTGAGAATAGAGCTTTGAGATGTCATGGTAGGCCCATAAAGAGCCTCAGACTTCGTAGAGCTAGCCGTTTCAACCGTGGTTTCGAGCAGCTCAGAAGATGTCTCGGTTCCCAAAGTAGAAGAGCTCGGCTGTTGTGTAGTTAGAGTTGTAGAGATCTCGGTTGTTGTAGTTGGTGCAACTTCTTCAGTAGTGGTTGGTTCCTCAATAGGACTTGGTTCTTCAGTCGTAATTGCCCCCTCAGTAGTCCTTGGCTCTTCAGTAGTCTCCTCTGCAGTAGAAGTTGGCTCTGGATCTTGGGTTATAACTGGATCTGTGGTCGTTATAATTTCCTCAGTTGTCTGTGTAGAAGAGAATGTTGAAGTTGGCTCCAAATAATCTTCTGTCGATGTAGTCTCAGGTGCTATCTCTTCTTCAGTAGTTATAATAGGCTGCGCAACAGCGTCAGTGGTAGGCTCGATTATTTCCGTCGTAATTGTCGGAACACCTTCGTCGGGTATCTTCGTTCCATACACGATTGAAGGAAGTTCTCGTTCTAGTAGCTGGCCATTCCGTCGGACCTGCTTCATATTATCGTTTTTCTCCACTCTAAGAGGGGCTGCAGAAGTAGTGCCCAGCACTAAGAGTGCGCCTAGCAAAAACTTAGTCCATCGTGATCCACCCATCTTTGTGAATATTATTCACAGTGCTGCGGCCCAGTCGCCTTGCACTTTACCCCGACTTCTCTGATGGCCAAAAAATTATCAGATCGAAATGAAATTATGGTTAAGAAAGTTAAAAATCCGCCAGGGTGAGATAGGATAGACTAGACTCTCCAGAAGTCAAGTCAAATGTGCATATATATATGTCAACTCGATTTAAATTCTACGTCTTGGATAGCGCTGAACTGGCGGAGTAGTTATATGTTCCTGCAGGATCCTCTATCCCACTAACCTAGGAGCTTGTTAGAAACATATTCTCGAAATTTGAATTGCAGTTGCGCTAATCATATAAGATCTGTGGATGGTAGAAATATTACGTACCAGGCCGTTTGGGTGTCTATAACTTCTTAATGCCAACAGCAATGACGATAAAAATTGTCTCAATAGATCCAGCAAACGTAGTAAATGGATGTAAAATTATATTGTTGTAGATTAAATGCGATAGCAGATATCTGGTGTGGCACCTAGATAGATAGCTAGTGCGTCGTAGATGCGAGGGATTCCTACGAGGCTAGCTGACATAGAATGAAAAGGATTCACGGGCTGTTACCTGAACTGCCTTGAAGATTTGAGTCGGAAAAGTCGCGTATAGCTCCGTGGAAGGATGAATATTCAAGGCAAATAAGATTTGCCGCACGCAGCAAATTTTATCAGTCAATGCAGCGAAAGAAAGCCGCAGATCATACACTGGTTAGTGCAACGAAGTAAAAGAGAGTAAAAGGGAAGAAGAAGAAGAAGAAAAGAAGGAAAGGAAGAAAGGAAGAAAGAAAGAAAGAAAGAGAGAAGGAACGTATCAAGACAAAATCCTAAAAGACAAAGAGAAAGAAAACTCGTGATCAAAAATTGAACGAAGGAAATACAAAAGAGTACAAAACTTTTGGGCGATCGTAGAGCTTATGTATATTTCTAATAGCAAAATCATTGCTAGTAGGGAATTGCCGGATTTCAGGGACCAAATGTATGAAGCCGCGCTTGCATATCGCGAACCCGACAAGCGATTCGTTGGAAGTCTCTAGTTGAAAGCAATTGGTTTTTTACCAGCCCTGGTTTAACCAATGCTGTACTCTGTAGACCTGTTGTCAACTGGGCCACAATAAATCGGTACGCGGAAAGCAGCAGCAAATGAGCAGTGAACCCACGTACCCATTGTGTCCCAGGAAGCCCCCGGACCCTTGTTCTGGAAATTTTGGCAGGGATTTGGGCGACCACACATCATCCAGAATGGACATTTCCTCATCTGACAGGGCGAGTGGGTGCATCATGAAACGCAGAACCAGATATACCCAAGAACTATTTCCAGCCTGGCGAGTTTGTTCGAGTCTATGGATGCTACGCCTTATGATCCCAATCTAGCCATGCGCTTGCATCCATGCGGGGGTTTAATCTTCTCGACTGAGGATCACCTTAGCCTCGAATCCAGGCGTAGCTAGAATCGATGCATACACTGCACTCGCCATACTCGTGTGCATGCTCAACCCTGACCATGGAGGTCTGTATATTCGTTGTCTAGGTCAATTTCATACCGTTGTATTTGGAGATTATTGAGATTTAGAACTCACATTGACACATTTTCTCACTCACTCACACGCAAGATTTCTAGAGAGCAGCAAGTTTTGAGTCTTTATTCGGTGCTCAGCAGCTGCGCTGCCAGGCATTTTCGATTTTCAACTTCTTGTATTGGTGCCACGAGCGTGGTTTGTCAGTCCTCTACATTGCCTTTTCGGGAGACGAGGCGAAATTGCTGTAGCCAATAACGCGCGGTTGCAATCCTCCTTGGCAGGAACACGATGTTCCAAAAATAATAATTCGCCCTTGACTCGCCACAAACCATTACACTTAGTACTTGCGCAAATTGAAAAGCGATCGCGAAATTTTAAAATTGCATTATTTGTGAATAGTACATAGATGTATTGAATACTATCAAATATCAGAGAAACCTTTTATTTTTTTATTTTCTTTTTTACCTCTAAAGGCACGTGCGCACGTTCATCACACGCAGTATCAGCTGATCATGAATGGATATACATCACCAAGCAATATTTTGGTCCTGTGGTGCAGGAAAGTCAAATATATTTCTATCTCTTAAAACTTATAAAATTTGAAGTATAATATATAAAAATAAATATTTAAACGTAAAAACAAAAAAAATAATAACATAATAAAGAATATTTTGCTGTGTCTTAAAGTAGCTCGGGCAAGATCGGTATAGGGCCAGACACGAATTTCGTACAACATTCATCATGCATCTCGTCAAAGTCGGTCGTAACTAGTACTTAAAGATATATTTTCATGGAGCAATTGAAACAAAGAACAAGCTTGCAGACGCGAGAATGAGCTGTATAGTGAGAAATGTTTTTAAGAAGTTTGGGAGCTAGTATAGTCATACAAAACCAATATATGCGGAGGGCACAAATACATGTGTAGCAAATATATCTGATCTAGAAATAATATATAAGAACGGGTAGCGACTGGAATAAAAATAAAAATAAATAAAAAATGAAAAAACAAGAGAGAGAGAGAGGTAACAGATAAAAGCCCAGGCAAGCCAGTCCACGTTTCATCGGCTAGAGAGTAAGGAAATCCAGTGCAGTATAAATTTGTCATTTTGTGTATTGATTCGCTTGTAGGAGGTCCAAAAAATCCACGCCAGGCTTTTGAAGGAGGTTCCATTTTGTATGTACGGTCCTATGATAGTAATCCAAAGGTTTTCCAGAAGGTAACTTTTTTTTTTCTCCCAGGAAAGTAAACACCAACAAAGAAGGCTAGACCGTAAAACCATAATTCTTTTTGTGTCGGAAGGAAGGGGTCCCAAGTAGCCAATCCGGTTCCTGGTATTCGAAGATCGACGGTCCATAATTCCGGGTTCGATCCTAAAGGCAGAGTACTCGAGTCCAGGTATCCGTCTGAAAAGAAGATTCCAGGAAGCTTTCTGGAAGCTTGAAAAGACCAAAACTCAAGGGCATTAAAAACAAGATCACCAGCCTCCCGTATGAACGCAGAACAAAAAACTGAAACCCAAACACCGAGAAAATGCGAAAGGAAATATCAATCAACGGCAAATTCTCAATCAAGGCCTTCGGATTCAGCGTATTGCTCTAAAAAACGAACGTGCTTTTTGATACTCTCCCTTCTGCGCCGCCTTTTAGCGATTATATTCTCGGTGTTCTCCTTTATCTTGAGCATCTCCTCCATACCATCCCAGTCCTTGATGATTTGGGCGACGTGGATTCCGGCGCTGATCAGTTGGAAGACACCCATGTCGCTTTTGAGGGGACGGCTTGGATGCGCAACGACGTGTCGAATTTCGCCTAAGATTAGGATTCGTAGGTTAGGTTTAGGACTTGAGGGAAATTGCTCGCGCTCGTAGAAAGGGTGGCCTACCTGAATTTTGGAGGATTGTGACAAACTCTTTAATACGCTCATTGTGCAACAGGGTCTTAGGTATCATCCGCTTCTCACACAATGCAATTGCAAGCTCGAGCCATTCGTGCCACTCACGGTCAGACGGTTTACGGATGCGTCGTTTCCCTGGGTCAATCGGGATTGGGAACTGATGCTTTGCGAAGAAGTTGAACATTCCATGGGATAGAAGGTCGTTGAGTCTTTGGAAAATATGGTCTTGATCATCAGCTTCGAGGGTGGTTTCAAGATCTGGTAGCGTTCTGTTTGGGTCGGCTTGTGGTGATGTTCTGCGGTCATAGTCCAAATAGTAGTATAAATCATCAACTTCCCCCGTTTTTCTAGCCTTCCGGTGATTGTTGTATGGGTTTGTTCTAGGCGGTGATCCAGTGATGTTGATATTTGCCCGAGATCTACCTTCTTTAGATTTCCCATGTGCTGGAGGATTTGGTTTGCCTACATCGGGGGGTGTTGGGAGCACTGGAGATCCAAGCTTTTCAGGAGTATTCCAGGTCCCTGTCCTGTATAGGTCTACTGGTTGTGGGTCTACTATGGGGGCGCTCGGTGGCTTTGCAACTGGACCAGAGGCACCATGCGTTCTCGATGGGGGAGCGAATGTGTTTCCGTAGGGCGCGAAAAAGCTGTTGGGCTGTTGAGGAACTACTCCGACGTTCTGCTTTTGCTGGGGATATGGGATCTCCAAGTCGGCAGCATTTGATCCGAAGCCTGTATATGAAGCTGACAAATCACCGGAGTTTCGGTGTCTTGTGAAGTGGAAGCGACCACGGTCAGATACACATCACGTACGATAACCAGTGCTTTATTAAAAGAATTGACTCGGGTGGGGTTGTATAGTGGCCTAGAGTATATATCTAGGCCCAAGCAACGGGTTGGGGTCGCATCAAGACTCACGATCGCCCGATGTCACGAGTAAGGGAGGACATCGACGGGACTTGGAAGCCGGGAGGATGGCTCTGCGGAGCATGATAATTTGACGCCGCATTAGATCTTCTCGCACCCGCACCAGATGTAAGTCAGAATACGATGAACGCTACAAGAAAATGCAATGATATTGAACGACTGAACAACTCGGGAACGAATTGGACGGGCGGGATATGTTTTTGAAACACAATCGAGAATTCACCATACACTCTTTGGTTGTAATTATTGTTATTGTACCGTTGATCGGAAGCTCGTGCGCTGGGCACCTGCTGTTGGGAGTGGGACTGTCCAGAATAAGCTGCAGCTGTGTAAGGCAGGCTCTGTCGTTGAGGCGGGCGAGTGCCAACTGGGCCCGGGAACCCGAAAGGAGGACTCGTTGCGATATCCCTTGAGTCACAAAGCAACATCGTTAAGGCCGGGTTTACTTAAATAGCCCTTTCTACCGAAAAGTAGTAGACTTTGTATATGAGAATTATTACCACGTCTGGGTCAACGTGTTTCGTTGTAAATCTTGAGATTGGGGTACTGGTCCCTGGCGCTGGAAGACAATAGATATAGTAAGCCCTCAGTTCGTAGGAATGACTACGATGCGAAAGAGTATTGTATCGGACCTCAGAAGCGCGGCCAGCCTCGAATATATAGCCAGTCAGTCGATTCGGCTGCATGGCTACATACGACGGACGACGTTCGGTTGTTGCGTCTGGATCGTAATGGTGCCGCTAGTTATGCAAGACACTTCACAGGCCATTAGCGCTCTTGAAGCCCTAAGCCTGTTGCGAGATAATAGATACATGGAGATTGGCACGATGCATATGCAGGTATGTGCATGTACCATGTACCTCGAAAAAAGTTGGAAGGACCTCTCTGCTCACCTTGGAAGTCGTGAAGTATTCGATCTCCGCCGTCAGAGTCAGGATACCTAGACCGAGGGAGGTGGAGGAAGCGAGAAAGATTCTCGTAGCCGTTTGAGGACTTCACCAAGGATAAATAACGGACTACTTTGTACACTGCACTCGTGGCCAACGGAATTATAGCTTGGACCTTACCCGAGGCCGAACTCCCTATTCTATTTTTTGGGCTTCGAGAAGACTCCTGCAAGAAGAAAATCCCGCTTTGCGCAGGTGAGGTTCAGGGACTCCGAAACACTCTATTGTGTATGTATGGTTGCCGTTGGTCCGTTACGCGTGAGAACCAATTGAAACCGTTTTATGGGAGTTCAAATTTCAAAATCATACCATTTCGCTGAACCAGAAGAAGCAAATTTTCTCTCTTGCGGGAGCGTGCGCAGTGGGGTCAAGAAAAACCCACCAGGCTCATCGCCATCGCCATCTTTGCAAAATACCGTCATTCTGTCTTGGTTTGAGAAGGACAGTCTCACCAATATTGGATTATTTTATTTCTTCTAAGCTTTTGCTGGAGACATGTCTGCCACGTCGTCGAAATCTCTCGCACGTGGTGGGGCTAGTTGACTTGAGAAGGAAGGATCTTCGTATGGGATTGGTGTGAAAGCAGGGTTGGAGCGTAGCGATTGACCCTGCTAAGACTGTGTAGCTGTACCTAGATACTTATTAACACCTCACCGAAGAAATTTCAGTTTCAGTGCTTCTTCGACCCGAAAAATAGTGTTAACATGAGATATTGAAGCTGCGTTGTCATGTTGGAGTGCGCCTGTTATAATATCCAGGACATACAGCATCGGATCAGTCACTTTGACAGTTACCGTCGACAGGATCTTTGAGTGGCATGCAGATGCATCGGGATTCGCATTGCACAGCTAGCTGGAGAGGAGCGACAATTAAAATTTGCCACAATGTACTCCGTACTCGAGCTTGACACAAAGAACATGGTATACCCGGAAACCAATCAAACAGACATAGGATTTCGTATGGAAATTCAAGTTTTAACGGTATTTGGCGTAATTGAAACCAGCTGAGTTGATTAATTATAATATAGCGCCACCTTGGCTGCCACGATCCACGATCCACTACAAAGTTCCACTGAATCGATGCTACAGTGCTTAGTCTAGATCGCTAAGACTCCTAGTATCCCAAAAAGCTTTTTGGTCGGTTGTATTCATGGGTATGTCTTCCGGTACCGAGAACCAACTAATAGCAGGCGCAGGGCAATAGTCGAACGGATTGAAGTTGGGAAGAACGCGCGACAGAAAGCCGCATATGCAGGTCATATGGGAAATGCGGCCAAATGCGAAGTGACATCATCAATGCACCCCCCAAGAAGAAACTGGACCCTGTACACTGTAAGCAGGGAACTTAAACATCTTTCTTGAACCACCTCGTAACCGTCCCCTCAAAGAAAATCCAAGTTTGATGGTGATTCCGTTCCCGATAGTCAACGGGGATAATTATCGGTATGATTTCGAGGCGGTTGTGGGAGTAGTCGATGCATAGTCAAGATAAATCCAGGATATGATCAGCACGAAGCCGAGGGGCTATGCCAGGCCGTGTCGTGACCATCCACCTTAGGATATCAAATTCCTCGACTATTGGGGCATACATTGCATTGCTTCGAGAACTTGGGCGTCAGAGATCATCATTATTTTGACACCTCATCAGTGGAGAATCTGGATTTGGCCAGGCACATCTCTGTAAACATAGCTAGCTAGGCTTCGAGTATTGAAGACCAGTTCATAATACAGATGCACAATGGCGAAGGACTGCATGAGATTCGTGATGGCTTCCGTCAATGTCGAATGCAAATTCGCGTAGCGAGTAGCTGTGGTGTCATGTCGCGTGAATCCATAACATCATACGCGTAGCTGCGCAGGCCAGCCGGCTCTTGCCCGAATTTCATATCTTAGCCTCGACTCCCAAATTCGAGCGCTAGCCTCTAGTCGAAAAAGGTAGTATCGAAAGTTAAAGCCTTACCAGGAGTATTCTCGGGAGATAATCTTAACCTTAGAGATACAATTCGGGTGGCGAATTGTGCTGGGATGACAAGGCGATGGATATGCAGCTAGAACGGAGTTCTGGAATGGAAGTGGTTATGTTTGGTTGAGAAAACGAGGCTAGGAGACTCGGCAACTTTCCAACTGCAACTTCACCTCCAACATCCTCCTCTTCAACTCAAAATAAAGTGGGTGCGCTGCACGATACTTCAAGGATATAATAGCTAGGCCACATTCAATATCCCTTTCATGGATCTGGGGGCAAATTCAATTGACTGCCAACTCATCAGTTCGCTCTGTTTCTTTTTTCAACTCTCACTCATTTCTATCCACCCCGAACCCGAGAAAGTCAAAAACCAGGCCTAGTTAGAACACCTCGTACCTCCTCCATATGAGTAATTGCATAATACATCGTGATCAGGTGTAGCAGGAAATTCCTGAGGGCTCGCTAGCAAATTCGCTTAGATCATATGAATGTACGCAATCTGCTTTGTTTATCTAATACTATGCACATTACGGTTGATCTCTGCAAAGACACGTCTCAAAGGTTGTGCATTTAACTACATGTATACAAGGGGCTTTGTGAGATATCCATCCGCTGTATCCGGCCTGGCGAGGCAGCATAATTCTCACTAGTGGACTAAATTCCTCAATACTGCTATTCGAAGAGCCTCCTCACTTCTTCCATTTTCTGGGAAGAGCTATTTTTTCCGTTGCCCAAGATATGAGGCAGTTTGTCATCCATGGGACAATAGGCCCACATTTGATCTATGGCTAGGTTTTGTTGGCTTCAAAATCGCAGTTTGCAGCTGGAATATCATACGGATCATGGTGCTAATGGTTTGCGCCTCGCTACCAAAACCTGCCTTGAGCTAGTCCGACGTTTCACCTGGGATGGCCGTCCTGACAACGTCTCCTGTGGCTATCAGAAGGAGGCACAGACTCAATAACTGCCCCAACCCTGCAAAACTACGGTTTCTCAAGACCTTGAGATTTGATTATGCCGAGGTGCAACATCAAAGCCACTATTAATTAGCTATTACTATCATCAGGGTCGTCGGTGTATGTATATTTATCTGATGCAGGTATCGGAGTAATTACTTGTCGATATGAACGATCGTATAGGAAATTGCACACAGTTTTCGAGTTCGCCACCTCTTTGGCAATCTAGGTGTAGATATGACAAGATAGAGACATACCGATAATCAACTTTCTGTCGACGTGGCTGCGCGGGAAGATGAGATGGCATCGATGATCTCGACATTATTCAGCATGGCTTCAATTCGGCCCTGCAGGCTTTTCTCTCATTCAGATCCTACAATCTTAGGCTAGATCCTTTCGAGTTTTTGGCCTAAGTTTTCGCGCAAGTATAATCTACATCTCGAAAACCAGCTATACTTGCCGAATTTTTCTAAATTCTGCTCAGCGCCCTTATCAAATAATGAAAGATAGAAGAATCGTCTAGAAAATACTACCTGGTGACGGCATCCCCCTTCTTGGATTTGAACTATTCCAAGTTTTTCAAAGCTTGACAGTTGTCATTCCTAGGATCTTGGTCGTGCAAGCGAGGTTTCCCAGATTTTTCAATAAGGCCAGTCCATCGTCATGCCCCTGGTGGGAGCTGGGGTAGAAAGCAAGGATCATGTCGAAAGAATGATGGAATCATTTTGAGGATCTTGGAGTCCAGATTAAGCTAGCTGCTTAACGACAACAAGCTAGATTCGGTCATAGGCCAAGTTCCTGAAATCCTTCAGCGGTCCGGATCGGGCATCAAGATCACCTAGTATATATCCTCAAGAGAAGATTTTAAACTTATAAAAGCAATCTTTCAGCGCACCCAAAGTCTTTTCATTAGAATCATAAACAACTTCATCCATATTCATCTGATTATTTAATTAACATAAAATTTCTGCCTTGTAGAAAATTGAAAAGCCTAAGAGGCCAAACCGAGTCTGACCCCGAATTCTCCCATTGCAGTCTCAATCCCTTTCGACAAATCCCCATAATTCCGATAATAATATAGTTACTTATATATATCTACATATATATAACCAATACCCAAACCTTTCAAGAAAAAAATAATTCTAAAAATTAAAAAGAAAATGGAGATCTACGGTAGACATTGGTCTGGGAGCCAAGAAACCTTGATACCAGATGACGAAACTATAATAGAAGAGGTCACCTCATGGAAATTGCGGAGTCGTAATAAGTATGCACATGTTCAATCCTACATTTCTGTTCCCATCCGGCATTTTATTGCAAGCGAAAACTGACATCTCAATTTATTTCTCAAGTAAATACCGAATCCCCAAAACTTCACATATTCCACCTGAAATATCCACCGAGCCGCCTGAAGCTAGTGCCGAGCAATCTACACACAAATCCGATACAAGATCTAAAAAGAAGAAGAAGAAGTCAAAGTCGTCTTATAAAGTTGATGGGGTTGAAGGTAAGTTTGTTGAGAATTCTCAAGGCCTTACAATCGTAAACAGGCCAGGTTGGTTCTAGTTTTCGTGTAAGTTTGCTCACTTTTGATCCCAACTGCTTAGCAACACCTAGCGTTCGGTCATCCGCCTCATGTTCATCATGTTCTGGTTGTAGCCAAAAGTCCGGGTTGGAGAGTGCGGGTCTGTTGGAAATTTCGTGTTGTTCTCATACGGATCGTGAGTTTTGGGCAGGGTTTAAGAAGGGCTTTCGCGACGCGAACAATTTTAGACATTGCTGCGATGAACATGATTCCGCGCATTGAAGATCTTGATTGTGTGAAATATGTTTTTCTAGCCGGCGGGGATGCATACGTATGTATGAACATCTGATTCGAACATTTCTGTTTAAATTTAGTGGTAGCTATAGCTCTATAGTAGATATATCTGTGTATTTTAGTATTTAATATTAGGACAGAATGTGGTCGAATGCGCTAATGTGGGCGTTCGAAGTTTCGATATTTTTGCTCAACTAGAGTCATGCATGGTGTGTACGTGCATACCTAGCATGTATCAATCACGCATTGTGATAAGTCCTGCGGTATAACACTTGTGGAGATACGGATTTCTGAGCGGCCTAGACTTATTGATATGCATATGTATCTCAACGATCACTTTGAGAATGAACGTCATCTACGTTTGAAATTAGCACAGGCTAGCCGCTTTTCTGATACGCCTTGCATACCATATGCCTGTGGAATGACCGCACCTGGGAACTGGCCAGGGTCTAGATATCATGGAGCGGGTCAACATGCAACAGCGGCGCCGGAGCTAGCTTAGCTTTTGGTGCTATTATAAGCAAAGGATTTTAGAACCCTAGAGAGTGGATCTATTGGATTTCGTATGTTTTAGTTACCCGGAATGAACCCGAGGGTGGGAAGATTAATTTATGATACCACAAATGTGAACATTCGTGAAATGACCGCAAGCCTATAGTACACGTTTGGTGATAGAAATCGACTGGTACTTTAAGCCTTGATATATAAAACGTATCGCTCAAATCAAACCAAATAGCGGGAGAGGATAAAATATTTCCAATCGACGTTGAAAAGCGTAAGAAAAAAGAAGAATAAAGAAGAATAAATAAATAAAAGAACGCCAACCGCGGCCTGCGATAATTCCTTCACCCTATCCAGGATCCGATGACTTTTGCATCATAAACTCATGAAACCCTCGCTAATGCAATGGCCCCTTTAAAACTCAATTAAGGAACTCGAGCCGTCAGCTTCGTGAAAGTCGTGCCCTCTTACTATCGGTGTAAGTCTTCAAATCGAAAATTTCCTCGGCAGCTTCGCAAATTTTGCAGCGGCTTTCAATAAATCCTTAACTTCCTTATCCTTTGCCAGGTCGATTGGGGCCTTCCCATCAATGTTCATATCCTCCAGGCGTGGGTTTTTATCTAGCACCATTTTTACTATAGGGATGTTTGCTTTCTGTACCGCGTAGTGGAGAGCCGTCGAGCGATTCCTATCTTCTGCTTCTAGGTTGATATGTGGATGATTTAATAGTATCCGAACGATTCCTTCATGTTGCTGTATGATTGCTACCATCAACGCTGTCTGCGAGTTTATAGCACTTCTAGAATGAAGGTAGAATGTTAGCAAGTCAATTATAAAGCCAAGCAGGCCTCTGTTTTCCACTAACCCTTTCGTGTAGTTGTTTACGAGGGCACCCAGCTCCAAAAGTACGGATAGGATCCCCTCTTTCCCCATCATAGCAGCGAGATGAATTGGCGCCATCCCATTGCCACCATATCCGTTTATAGCGGCCCCGTTCTCAACCAAGAATCGTACCAAAGACTTCATATCGTGATGCACAGCGAGGCATATTGCATTTTGCTCATCAGCTGTGCGCTCGTGAATATTCGCCCCTTCTTCCAGTAGTATTCTCGTTAAGGTTTCGTTGCCTTTTCGTACCGCCCAATGTAACGCAGACCATCCCATATCGTCCCGGTGGTTTACATGGGCGCCTTCATCCAAAAGACACCTAACTGTTGTTTTATGCCCACCCATCACAGCCTTCATCAATGGCGTTCTTCCTCCCGAGCCCGGTGTGTCGATTTTTACTCTCGCCCGTAAGAATAGGGGCACGATATTGGCGCTTCCGTAGGCGGCGGCCACATGCAACGGTAAATCACTCTCGTCGTCTATGGCATTTAGATCGGCCCCGGACTGAATCAGCATACGTGTTATACCTTCCCCGCCATCTGCTGCTGCGAGGTGTAGAGGCGTTTTGCCGTCCTCGTCTCTGACATTGACTGATGCTCCTCGTTGTAGTAAAATCCGTACTACATCCTCGTGTCCGTTCTCACATGCTGCGTGCAGTGCCCTTCTATTTGATGCTGTGTTTAAAGCATCAATATTCGCTCTCCAATCCAAGAAAGTCACTGCTGCGGCCCTGAAGCCTTTCGACGAGGCGATATAGAGAGATTTGTCGAGTACATTTTGTGGAGGTATCACGCCTTCCCGCCCACCAAATAGCTTGATAATACTCTCGGGATCATTCGGACATGGAACAGCGTTCCCGTTAATCAAAACACTACTGGTGACGGCTTTTCGTTGTGACATGAGCGGGGATTTGGCCGTTAGGTTGTGCTGGAGGGTATTCATGTCCAAGCGGGACATTTGTTGAATCATATGGATTGCGACGATAAACTCTTCGGGAAATAAGGAATGGTTCACCCGGAGAGGCATCGGTGGGTCATTGATTGTTTGGCAGCTATCCCATATCTCAGCAAGCTGATCCTTTGGTAGTTTTGAATTAAGCATGCAAAGGTAGGCCTTCTCGTCTGCTCGCCACGCTTTGTTAATATGCTACGTATACAAGTCAAATAGCTGACATCAAAAACATCTCTGTACTCACGAGATATTCCGCCCCCGAGATTGCCTTCGTATATATTCCAAGCGTTGAGAATCTGTTTAGCGCATTGAACATCGTCTGCGGCCATCTCTATTCGTTTCCCGTCTTTTAACCGCACAATAAGTCCCTGGTCCAAAACAAGATCACGAAGCGAATCTGGCAGATCCCTCATAAGGAAAGGGTTGGGGCTCGCTGTCAATGCCGAGGATGGTGTCCTAGAAGATTTCCTTCGTCCTAAACCCACGGAAGCTGATAAAGGCGGTGACCCTGGATGGCCTCGATCACTATGTAAAACTGGCAAAGCGCTACCTCCGGGACTGCTAGGTCCCGGTAACGGATGCGTGACGATTCCTAGGATATGCCTAGGTGTTGATGCAATAAGTTTGGGATTTGGCATGATGGGGGGTAAAGTGGGACTATCGGGTTCCTGAATTTCGTGAACATAATTTGGGGTGATTGTGGTCGCACTTGACCTATAAGTTTCGGAGCTCATTTTACGGGTTTTGGCTTCACCAGAGTGATTGTGAGAAGGTGGTTTAAGTTCACCAGACGAAGAATTGGTCCGGTATATTTGTAGATTGCCGTGGTCTTCAATATGGCTAGTTTCGTAATCCTTTGGGAACAAACGCGGCTCGCTGACCTTAATCTCAGGTGATTTGGGTGTCGTCGGACTTGATCGTTTGCTATGTCTTCCTATAATTCCTATCAAAAGCAGTTAGTAATCAACCCTTAAAATAATAATGTATAAATAGTGTGGCCGCAAACGCGTTAATGGGGTAAAAGAATGAAAGGGAGCGAGGGAAGGGGAAGCGGTGAGCTGGTACTTGATAGTTTACGGGGAATGATACTTTCGAGTTCCGCGGTCATCATAACCTTCTGAGTGTCGATAGCTAAAGGCGTTCCATCGAGCTCCGCGGCGTGCGCTGGAGCTGTAGCATAATCTTCGTGAGTTTCATGCTTAGAATCAACAAATTTCTTGCGGTCCTTGCCGGGGGAAATTGAGCGGCGGCTGAAAGACGTACGTCGGCGCCGCTGCTGCTGCTGGGGTTTAACCCGGTCAGGTTGGTAGTTCTGACGAGTTACGATGTAACTCCTCGAGTTTAAATTATCCATGGTCGGAGAAGAGGGAAGAAAGGAAGCGTGCGTATACTCATCGACGTCTGCCTGGAAAGGGTGGGGATTCGGGAGGGGCGGCAACAGCAATGGTATCTTTTGTATCGGGAAGTGCAAATAGCTAAGAGGTTTGTCAAGCCTTCGTCTGCAATGGCAAGCTTGAACGGACGGCTTGTCTCTGGTGGGTACAAAAAAATAATCGGATATGTAAAAGGCAAATTTGGTATACAGTAGATAGGTAGGTAAAGTGCGAATGCAGCGTTATGGCATGGAAGAAGCAGCTAGCAGCACTCACAGACGGCTGGCCCAGAAGTCTTGTCTTCGGTCATGCTCATGATCAGGATGAAACTGGTGGCTTCGAAAAGGATAAGGAGGTCTTGTGGCTTCTTGGAAAGACGACGGTAAGTGGTTCTGTTGTCATACGCCGCGAAAGAAGGTATGGTTCGAGATGTATGTATGTAGCTAGGATAACAATTTGCCTGAGGTGCAGTTGGCAGACAAGAAAAGCAGGGTTGGTATGCAAGATTGCTGTCCCCACGTTCCGCCGACGGAGCTAGACTCAGACATGCACCCGCCGGTTACCTTCTTTTCTGCAGTTGAGCAGAATTCCTTTTGTCCTAATGGTTGGGTTTAGGTCCCACTAGCTGTGAAGGCACGAAGCACTGGAACTCAAACAGAATGAAAGCGATGGTGAACTTGGAACAAGGGTGTGTGCCTCGGTGCCAGAAACGTGGTCTCGCCGTTGGCTGATCCGTTCCAGAATCCAACTGGTATGGCCCAAAGTAGCAAAGTTGGCTCTTAGAGGTTGGATATCAAAGGTCGATAAGTGCGTTCGGTTCGTGAATGTGCAGGTGGGTGCATTGCAGGTTATTTGTCGGGTCGTTTCGTGGGGTGCTCAAGAGATGGGGTCAGTGCATGTGTGAATGTGCTCGAGTCGTGGCGCGGGATGTATCCAATATCAGATGAAAGAGAAGAAAGAAAAGCGGGTCCTAAGCTCGATGGCCAGCTTAAATTTGTGAACTCTGAATTGAATAGTATGGTTGTAGGCAAGTCGTTCAAAGTAGTAAATACTATACGTACAAGAGAGCGAGGGCGCCCGGGCTTCTAGACTGGCAGATCTTCTTAAGCTCTGGCAGTAACCTGTCTGGTACTGTATATATAAGATTCACCACCTTTCGATAATGCAATGCATCATCAATCGCGATATTTTTGGAGTAAGAAGGAGACGTCGGGACTGGTGTACAGGATCCCAAAGGGCTGAGCAAAACGATAGCTGTCTTTTGCACCATCATTTTGTTAACTGAACCAGTTTTGCGCATGCCCGGCCTTGTAATTCAAACTCTGGCGGACCTTGTACCAGTGATTTTTAACCCTTCTGTATCGACAGGACGTTGAGACAGACCAATCTGGGGCGTTTCTTGGCTACACGTTGTGAGTTTCAAGCCTCTTATTGGTGCGCCCAGAGATTCGCGGGCTTCGGTTCGTGCTTAGGGTACATTCTAGGTACAACTTTCACCATTTCGTTTCTCGGAGCTGTCGATAGTTTTTCGGTATCATCCGGGTAAATGTAGGTACCAATTATCCGGCCCGAAACGTCATCCTTCTTTTAGGGGCGCATCGATCTTGTAGTTGGTTAGCTGGCGAGTCAGCAGACGACTGCTACTGCAGATTCCATTTGCATTTGTGGGACTAACTTAGCAGCAGTCTCGAGGCCTGCCAGTGGCGGACTGCAGCTGCACCTGATGCCACAACAGTGTCGATATTTCAAAGCTTCGGCGGCCTGCAGAATCCATATATATAGCGATTTAAGATGGAGATCATGGACGGTAACAGGTGAAGTTTCATGGTTCATCAAAGCTATTCGAATATATTCCACTGGCCGCAAGCCAATTGGCGCCAAGAGTCATGTTAAACAATACCGTGTACCCTTGCCAACACACTGCGCCCGATTAAATTTAAAGAATACTGGAACCAAGACGAAAGATCAAAGCATAGGTTTGTATACGTGTATGGAGTATTATATAAGTATGTATACATATCCTGCTCGATAACACGCTGGATTCAATCAAATCAGAGCCAGTCTAGTCGACATCGCAGCAGTCAAATATTGAAAGTTGATATGATCGTATGCATGTGGCTGTGGAGCCAAGAACTTAGGAAGGGTTTCCCTGGTCGCCTTCACCGCGCCACGATCTAGATTCCACCAACTGATATACTATGCGTATATGATCTATTCGGCTGGATACGTACTTTATCTTAAGTAGTTAGTAACTTAAGTAATTCAACGGATCCTGCACATCCAACACGTAAGTTCGAGGCAAGTTGGCTGCTTTCTCGCCTCATATTATACTATGCGAAGATTTGTCGCCTCGATGCTAGGATTCCAAGGTCTATAGATCCAACATTCCTAAACTTGATAAATATTGCATAGACCCATGGTTCGCAGCCTAATATTTTGCCACAGATAACAGTCAGGACGTAAAACTCAATTTCAAAATTTCGATTCTTCGTTTGACAAGCCAAGGAAGCTTGAAAGCCTAGTTTCGTTGTTGCGCCATTGCACCGATAATGTCGACAGTCAAGACAAACAGATATTTCGGCTCGTTAGGCAGCCTGCATGCGGAACTTTGGATTTGACATATTGCGCGCTTTAAGTTCTTATCTGTTCTTCTGATTCGCTCGCCTTATCTATTTCCCCCCCCCCCCCCCCTCTTCGGTCCTTGTCATGTTCTGTGTTACACAGCATCAACGTTAAGTTTTGGCGGCTCTGTTGCATTTTTTTTATGGATGTGTGTTATCCACAAATTCGGCACGGAGACAAGTTAGCTTGCTCGGTCTGATACAAAAATTACAGAGAACGAGCTAATTAAATCACTTAATTCTTTAAAAATGCTGTTTATATATGTCAATTTGTTAATTTCTTCGTTAATTAGTAGTTGATTACTTATTTATGCATCTTTGACTGCGTTCAAAGCGTGGATATCCGGATGTTAATTTCCAACGCGGACCATTATTAAATCAAAATAGTGTCGCCTGTGCATGTAAGGCTGTATCAAGCCTCCTTCATTACATATTCTGCGTATACCGTTACATCAGGCTTCAAATTAAAGCAAATTTAAGTGTAGTGAGGGGCTCTTGGAAAATATTTTCCACCAGATGCCGAGGTGAGTAATTTCAATCCATATGTACTGTAATCACTGTAACACAAAGAGTTCTGCGCATGCGACGGAATGCAATCTCGGGAAGCATACATTCTCTGTAATGATCTGAAGCACTTACCTAAGAGTTTATTGCTATAATGTAAAATTTAGTGAACAAATACCTTACCGCATGAACGGAATACATTTATGTTCAATTGTGTTGGCCAAATACATGAGGTCAATATGGTCAAGGCGCCTTCGGGAATGCGCACTGCTCTGTCATGATATTAATTATAGTAGTGATATTTATAAGTATCTAAAGAAAAACTTGGAGGCCTAAGACCTGTATTTGCCTTATGGGGATACCTAAAAGTATCGTTTGATTAACCATCTAATATTATACGGTCGAAGTTCGACTGGCTAATGGTTTTGGTTGCAGTGTGGGCAGAAAGTTCTCACAAAACTTTCGCTCTGGCAACTAGTTGTCTCTTAGATCGGGATTTGGAGTAGACTCTTCAGACTAGTATCCCTCGTGCACATGTTATCTTACCTGTAAGGAATATTACTACCGTATTCCTTTGGACGTGAGCGAGTTTGTTGAACCCAAGTTGTCTCAAGCCGATATCAACGCTCAACTAGGAAGGCTAGTTCTAAAAAACCGGGAACCCCGTAATTTACCCATAGGTACCTCTTCATATCTTGTTCTCTCCGGTCATGAGCACCTGAAAACCGGACACTAGGTTGGTGTATTTAATCGTGACCTCTACTATCGGCGAGCCGTCGGGATCATATTGGATTCTCATATGAACTAAGAGCCCCATCATGTAATTTACTTTAAGCTATTCTAGCCGATAGCCTCCCCGCCTCCCAGTTTCTAATCCTGATAGAAATCTAAGTTTCCAATCCTCGATTCTGCGAAAAAGAGTCCTCTGACCAATTGCGAGTGAAAACGGTAAACGTCGCCGTCCGTCAGTAGGATGGCTGATATGTGGGAACGTTCGGTATTGCTCTGTGGGTGCTAGCCCTCAAAAAGAGCTCTGAATTTCGATATATCCATGGATTCAACGTTCAAACCATTGGAAAGCTGTCGATAAAGCTATTTTTGAGCGCAAAGCTCCCAAAATCAGAACTAGAGAAGCTACTAGCTGTCGACAGCTGTCGTGCATAATGGTAGATCGAGACACCGAAATGTGTAGGTTTCCAAATGCTGGAGACGCCCAAGGTGGGGACGATTTTTTTTTTTTTTGGCACATGCTGCAGACAGGACAATGACAGATTGAGGATCGAGGCTTGCAGATTCATAGGCGAAAGTGAGAGATAGCGCCCTCCATTCTAATTGAGAACCGGGAAGTCATGCCACTCACCATATTGATCTAGGTCGCTAACACTCTCGTTCGGGTCGATGCGCCAGTTTTGGGGGTTTCTGCAAAAGCAAATGGGGTTTGAGCCGGCCACGTTGGATCCATGGAGCGAGTATTGTTGCTATGCATTGGTCTCGTGGAGGACATGCCGTCGTTGGTTCCACCGATGTAGTCAACGTCAGTGGCAACACAAGTTTCGGAGCTCGCAGTGCAGTTTGTAGATTGCGCGTACTACTTACTATGTGTATATGCATAGGGGGCTGGGACTACTATGAATCTGGTCGACACATATACCGTCCGCATTCACATGGGGCATAGTTCGAGAAAGATCTGCTGCCGCTTCGCCCTTTATGGTGTGCCAAGAGAGATTTAAATTAAGGGCCTGCGGGTCAACAGGCCTCGCGCATGCAGCAACGATACGATTAGTGCGGCAGCTTTGGGTGGATCCCAAGTAAAAGATTTTCAAACTCTAGTCTTTCGTTTGTACTATGTACGTATA